CGGTGAAAGAAAAGCTATTCAAGGAGGCAGAGGTTCACTTTGCTATAGCACACTCTATGCTGCTTTTCTTATTATCAGTAGGGAAAAAAATGAAATGAGAATAGCACATCTTTTAATTTCCTTCCACTATTACCTCTTGATTTGCATTCAGGTCTCCCAGAAGGAATACCTCTGAATTCAGAAGAAGGCTATTTAAGCTGCATGGTGTTTAAAAATTGCTGGAAGAGGTTAAGGTACCGTATATTATGCAGTTGACCTTACTAAGAAGCTACGCTAACAATTTAGACTTATAATTTTCTCCAGTTACATTTTGTTAAAATATTTCTTTTTTCATTTTATTTTTCATAGCAAAACTCATTATCCCTTCTGGGTACCCCTGCAGGTTAAACCCTTTGATTTTCTCTTAACTTGTTTTTTAAGATATTTTAAATGGCATAAAAAATTATGAGAAGTTATTTTACTTGCACAGAATTGTCTGGCCTTTTTGCCTCTCCATGGAGTGAATTGTTTTGTTTTGTCTTTTTATCTCCCTTCGTTGGAAGAACCGAGCAGCAGACAGCATCCTGTAATGCTGCAGTGCTCAATGCAGTATTTCATCATGTTTAAAAAAACTCTTGGGACTTGGCTTCTCAGTTAAAAATCTTGAATACTACAAGAAAGAGTTAGATGTAGTGTGTTTTGTACTAGCCTGGAAGTTTCTCCTACAACTGCACAACATTGGATTTCTGCTCTAGACAAATATTGCAGGAATTGATTTTATTTGAATGTATTTCTTAGGTGCGTGAATGAGAGGAAGAACGCCTGCTGTGGACCGCTGAGGGTTGCTGCTCTACAGTGAATTCCATCGCACTACCATCATCGTGCTGGTTAAGAACACTTTTGCAAGATGGCATCCACCACCCCCAGCAAAACCTGCCCATTGGTCCATAGGGCAGGTGTCCCATTCAGCCAGGTATCGCATTTTACAGAGGACAGCCCTCTAGACATTGGAAGAGCTCTCCAAGGATAGTGCTGCATTGGAAGGCGTCCTCTATTTAGTGGGCTGCCTAGTCCAAGCCTGGTTTACAGTGGAAGAACCATGAGGTCTGGGGTTGGTTGCAGAAACTGCCTCAGCCACCCTTCTGGTTGCTCCATGCTAGGAGGGCGATGGGGGAGTTGATCCTCTAGGAGCTCGTGGTGGTTCAGAGAATCAGCCACGGTATCCTCCTGGACTGCCTTGCTGGACTGGTAAATTGTTCTGCAGAGGTTGCTTTCCTATCCAAATCGCAAACCGTGATGCTGGGGGACCACAGTCTGACCACTTGACACGGATGCTATGGGATCTCCCAGGTTGCAGTCACGTCCCGTGCGCTTTGGAGCATCTATCTAAAGCCACTCGGTGTGCTCACCAGATACGAGCAGTGAGGTGCCACAAAAAGCACAGGGAGTGACATTCAGCTCTGCTTCTTTCTAATTCAGGTGTGCTGCAGGGGGGACCAGTGTTTGAGCTCAATCACGGACCAACTGAGGAACAAAAAACTGAGACTTGGTGGTGGTAATATGGATTCACCCACTTTTGGATGGAGTTGCACTGCCTGTGAAAGAACAAGTTTGCAGCTTGGAGGTGCTGTTTGATCTTTCTCTGTGACTGAAGCCACAAGGCTTGTGCTGGGACAAGGAGTGCCTTTAACCAGCAGCTTAGATTGATTTCATTAGTCTTTCACAGAACTGCTCCCAGCTCTGGTGGCAACAGACTTTTTTAAAGGTGCAGGCAAGATCTTGGTGTCTTCTTCTTCATCTGTGAAACCTATGTAACTTTTGCTTTAAGAGATGCAAATTGTCCCCATCTTTGATAGTGTCTGTTGACATGAAATCTGACGAGGAGGGTATCAATTGTCATAAGTGTTAATTTAAGCTGTTTATTTTATCATCAACATCTAGCTCCTTTGAGACCATGGGGGGTGGCTTGAGTAGCAGAGAGGAGAATACTGTTTCAAATGCAACATTAGTTTGATCATTTATAAATTCCTGCACCCCAGCTGCGTTCCTAGATTATTCCTGCTACTACAATTAATAGCATTAAGGAGGTAACACAGACATCTTTGCTGATAATTGCTGCACGTTTCAGATGATATGCTTCTTAACCCAGGTTCAGTTTCTCTGAGTAAAATGAAAACAAAGGCTACACTGGGGAAGGAGAACCTTTCAGTGCTGCCCTGAGGCTAGACTTCAGGACTGAAGATGCACCTGGGGAGGGAACAAATGCCCACTGAGAGAGCAGCAGGTGATGGGTCGAGCAGTAAACTGCCTCCATTAAAATTGAGCCAGCATGGTTGGGTCAGCACTGTACTAGGTTGGGACTGCTCCCCGTTGCATCTTTTTTTCCTTGGTTTTTTAAAAACCATTTTATATTCACTAGCTGTACATGGTCACAGATGCTCATTCTATTGTTTTTCAGGTAAAAATATTGTCCTTTGCTGTAAAACCATGTTGTGCATTCCCAAGTATGTGCATGTAGCATTAGGAGAGCGGAAGGTCTTGCCAATGTATCGCTCTGGTCATGATCATGTATGGAAGCAATGCACATCTCTGTTGAAAGAGTGCTACAAAACCACCTTAAGTCCCACGGCTGAAATGGCTTAATGCTAGTGGCTGTAGAAAACTTCCTGGAGGCTGTAAGGCATGGATGCCTGGAAAGAAGAGAAGTGCGGACTTTTTTTTGTACTAAATATGGATAGGATTGCACCCTACTGGGATCATGGAAGTCCTGGCTCCACTAAAAACCCTGACTCCTTTGAGATTTGAAGATGACTCCTCCATTTGGACCCTGGCATATCACCCCTTCTTATAGAAACATACAGAGACTTAGCTTAAAGCAACTAGTTTTAGCCCCTTTTGCCCAAGTCACAGACAAGAAATGTTTATTTACACCTGAGGATCTATGCTCCCAGTTTATGTTAGGGTGTGGATTAGGAACACAGCCTGGTATTTTAAACTGTTTTTTTAGGGTTAAGCACTACCCGTCACTTGGGAAAAACTTGCCTGCATTTGGGAAGGTGTTTGATTCTTTTTGCTTGCACTGAATACGATCCGTTTGACACAGGGCAGAGATGACGAGGGAGCTCTTTACTGCGTGCTCTGTTTTGCAGTATCTGTTTGATTTCAGAAAGCAAGTACTATGCAATCTCTGCCTGATTTATCTTTGGGTCCTTTTCTTTCAAAAGAGGATTCTCACCGATGAATGTTGCAGCACATTAAGTAGTTCATGAAACCTGAGGCTATCATACCATTCTTTAGAAGGTCTCCAGCAAGGCTTTCCCATTCGACTGAGCAGGCAAGGGACTAAAACTAGGACTTCTTGAAGCTGAGAAGGGCAACTTCATGCTTATGGCAGTGGAGCTAGACGAAAAGTATCCATGGTCATCCCTCAGAATGCCTTACTGGGCCTGATATTGTGCCACTGTGGAACACCAGGGCATCCAAATGGAGGCTCACAGGCCCAGCTGCCTGAGAAGGAAGGCCCAGGAGAGGCATCGGTGCTAGTGAACTCTGCTCCCCCACTGGGGCCCTGGCAGCTGCCCTAGCATGCCAGGCACTGACCCCACACTTGTGCTTCAGCCATGCCCATTAAACTCGCCGCTATTAATGACATCACTGAGGAAGAAGGCACTCATCAAACAACAGACAGTGCGGTCTCCAGTTTTCATTGGGCAAACATTACAGTCCACACTGAGCAGCACACAGTATTGGTAGTAATAGATTAGAAAGGATAAAGGTACAAATAACAGAAGTTACCATTTTTAATAAATGTCTGCAAACATATTTTAGTTGGCAGTTACATTTAATGAAGACAGTGCACTTTATTTACATAAAACATACAAGACACTCTTTGTTGGCATGATATCTAGACCAAGTCCAAAGACCAAACAGTACCTCAATGACATGCTAAATAAAAATAGATAAAAAATATTATGACACAACAACCACATAAAGAAATAAATAACTCTCTCAATGAATTAACATTTTGTATACTGCCTACTTAAAAGTGCAAAACAATTCTTGAAAATTAGAAGATATTTTGTAAAATTTAAAGTCCAGAAAATATGACCCAATCAGCCCAAAGTGCAGCTGATGCTGAAAATTTCAGTGTCCAGGAAAAGTTTACCTTGAAATAAATTGTGCATATTGTGCTCTTTTTTGAAGAAGTTGGTGTTGGTTTTTTGCTGCTTTGAATGGTTTCTGTCCCTAAAACCTCTTTACCTTTGTCCTGGCTTTCTGTAAAATCCTGATTAGCAGTTAAAAAAAAATGCCGTCCAAAATAAATGAAATGTAAACAAATATGTACCTAAGCACTAGAGGCCCAGTCAGTGCCAGGGTTAACTTTCATGGCCACAATGCTTTACAGCTGTAAGGCAAATGTGGTTAAGAGCTGTCCTTTAAAAATATAGTTCTCTTGCAGTGAAAGGTTTTCTATTCTCTGAATACTAGAGCCATAGTCATACACGACTGTACCAGTTTTCTGCCATTAGTTATCTTTGCCACTGAAGCTCATGTGAGCCAAACATGCAAAAATCAATAGCAAATGTTGGCCTTTAATTTGATAATGGATTAGAAAATGCTGCCATTTCTTCTATTAGATAAGAGAACCCACCTATATATTCCTTAGCAACAGCAGACATGCGAGTTCTCTTTCCACCAGTGCTGAAATCTTCCCTCTCTTTCTCTCTCATTTTAAGTCAAAATTCCTGTTCTGTACAAGACTTCGAGTATGTTTCAGAATTCGCTAACAGGACGCAACACTAGCAACCTCCAAGCTACAGTGCAAGCTGGACCCCTCAGCCACCAAATGCCTCTGTCATTCCTCGGGGGTGGGAGGGACATTGTGCGTTCACTACCGGAGAGGTTCTCATCTCTCGTCGCTTATGTTTGCAGTGGCAGTGCAGCAGCAGGAAGGGCTGGCATTCTGAACAAATGACCTTGTGCCAGAGAGAGAAAAAGGGAGGTGTCATCGCTCGGAACACTTAAGCACGCCGTGGCTCTAGCCGGTGTGACATCTGCGATAAAGTCCTCTGGTTGTCAATCACGCTTAATTGCCGCACATAACTCCGGACATCCTGATGGTTCTTATTTGCCAGAGATGCGTCAGGATCTGATGAAACAGAAATGATGTGCCGTTCGTATGCTTAGTCAATCTTAAACCTGAGCAGAATATACAAATAACTTATGCTTTCTAGTGAAAGGATACGAAGGGGGAAAATCCCGGGCCAGCCATCTGCAAACCTTCCGTTACCTTCATCTGTGCAAAATGGACCTTGTCGTATTCTTCCTTGGGAAGCGTTCCACAACCTGGTCCCACATTTAACTTTTGTTTCTTATTTCCACTGATACCGGATAAGCTTTGAACATCATTGTTTTAGCACAGGTAGCATTGCCACATGGAGTAAAGGGCTCCTGGAATCTCAAAATGTTACCTGCATCTGTCCAGTAAAATGCTCCAGGGGACACAATCCTGCAATCACTGGGATTAGATAGTGCCTCTAGTCTAGGCATCACCAACCTAGCACTCCAGGATGCTGGGAGTTGGAGTCCCACACATCTGGAGTGTCTGGCTGCTGGAATCTATAATTCTAGATTGTGACCCCAGTTATAACCTAGGGCAGTAGAAGCTGATGAAAATTATAGTCAGGAAAATACACACTTTGCAATACTTACTGAAAGGTTGGCTCTGGCAGAATTTCACTGTTCTGACAGTGTTTGAAATCATGCGCTAAAAGGAAAAATGACAACTATAAATGATAGTCAGAGACAGATGAGAATTAAAGCAATCATCCTACATGGGGAAAGCAAGCATGCCAGGGAAAATGTTTTTGTTTCCACTGTTCTCTTATTTTTCCATGTGCAGGTCTCTCTTAATGTGGGCCACATGAAACATGTCACAACCTATTTTTATGTTCTTATGTTCTTCATTCTACACTCTGAATTTGTACAGCATCACATGCATTTTATTCATTCATACGGCTAATCTGACACAGCTCTTATAAGCTTTCTCAGCAACACTGGTGAACGGATGCTTGCCAGACCGGTGCAAAAATGCTTCCCCTGTGGGAACAGATCTAGCCCAACATTCCGCTTTGTGTGGTGGGCAGGCAGCTACTTCGGGGGACTGATGGGCACAACTTGAAGGAAACAGGCTTTCCTTGGGTTGGATGCCACTGCCCTTGTTATAGCTGCCGGTGAAACTGGATTTCTGTATCCTTCCATAGAGAGTACATATTCCATAGAGAATACAATTGAAGACTGCTGGTGAAATGGATTTCCGCAGCCTCTCCCCGCTGCTGCAGCCCCCCACATCATGCCCTCCAGATCTCCAAAGGGTCCTCCCAACCCTCAGAATGTCTGGGCACATGGGGGGCTCCCCAGAGGAGAGGATATGGAAGCCCCATTCCACCAGTAGTATCCATCCTGCAGGCACAAGAAGGAAGCTGGATCCAGGCCTCTGCAGTATGTCCCCAGGTCAGTTTGTTGCCTGAGCTGAAGGGCAAGAGGGCACCCCTTCCCACTCCATCCGTAGGAGAAGACCACATGGACACGTGGGTGACAGACAGCTTCCAAAGGAGGCAAACTAGCTTAGGCAGCACAGGGGGTCTGAGCGCACACACAGCTCTGCCCCCTTAAACAAAGAATTGCCACATCTTCCCCGCAGCCTCTGCTACCCAATTCTGCAGTATCTGGTATTCAGAAGGATACTGCTTCTGAACAAGACGGTTTCACTTTACTGATAGTCCTATTTTCCAGGAATCTGTTTAATCTCTTTTGTGTTTGTTTAATCTCTTTAGCCAAAAAAAAAAAAAAAAACCTTTGAACATATGCCTCCACATCAAACTGGGTTTTTATTCCTAGGTTTTCCAAGGAGCATTCTGAAAAGCATACAGCTAGGAAGAGATCTACCAATGTCTACCAGAAGATACTGGGTCAGATCCAGACTGAGCGAGACTTAGAGAAGGCTCATTACAATCAACTGGACTCCCATCCATCGTGACTTACTTAAGTGCTATTGACTTCAGTGGGCCTGTTCTGGCTATCAAGTCTGGAGCTGACCCATTGCAAAAATAAGAATGTCTGATTATTCTTTCCTATTAGTAGGAGGACTCAAGCAAGCTTTTAGTTCCATAGAGAGTACAATTCATGTGGCTGCTGCAAACCTGAGGGCACAAGCCTTTCGCTGCTCAATGGCTACCGGAAAGGCTGTTATTCCGTTTCAGAAATGCACTGCAAGGTCAGAATGGAAACTCTGACCTTGAAGTGCCCTCCCTCCACCCCGGCAGCCAGTGCCGTCCTTTCCGCGTTGGCTGTGGCTCCGAAGTCAGAAGACTGGCCTTGGAGCTGCTGCTGCAGGGGTGCTCCCGGGGGTGGGAAGGGAAGGGAAGGGAAGGGAAGGGAAGGGAAGGGAAGGGAAGGAGAGGCTCCAGGCCTCAGCTTCCCCTGGCAAAAAGCACAGATAGCTGAAATTGGCCATCCAGGTGTTTTGTGCGATGGGAGAAGTGCAGAGCAGATCTGTGTCTCCATGCTCCTTCCGTCCTTGAGAGGATGCCTGCAATCCTCTGAGTCTGCAGGACTATGGAGGAGCTCACTAGAATGTGTCCTGAGAGGGCTTATGGGCTAAGCAGCATAATACTTCTCAGTATTGCTACCTCTTCCCATTTCCATTACGTAACAATACCCAGGCTTTTGTTTACGTAACGCTGAGGTTCACCCGGTGTGCCGCTGAACCCTACCTACTATGATAAAGCCACAGAAGGCCAGGCCTTGATCCTGCCAGGGGAGAACTGTTGTTCCCCTGGAGGCTCTGGGTCGCCTGCCCCTTGCTCCTCGGGCACAGCCTGCAGTCCCGGTTCAGGTCCTGTGCGCAGCCTAGAACGGTGGCTGCAGGCCAGCACATTAGCTGCTAATCCGCTCCTAGACCATGCTTCTATATTGGTATAAATATTCATACACGCCATACAAAAAACCACTCAGCCACATGCTTTTCGCATAGGCTTTATGTCCCGAAAATGAAAGAAGGCTTGCCTCCTCTTTCTCCCAATAAGGATCAGTGTATGAATGCCCATTGTTCGGATCCATAAAACCTGAAAACCAATATGCACACATTTGCTAATCCTCATTTCACACCTCAAGGGCGAAGAGGCTCGGTAAAAAGGAGAACCGCTGGATGGCCCTGATTTGTCCTGCCACGGATGGAGGAGCTTGTGCTGCAGCGGCACCTCGGAATGGCCAGGGGCTGCTTCGTGCGGCTCCCACAGCAGCGAGCGAGTGCGGGGAAGGCCTGGGCAGGGAGAGGGATTCGTCTCTTCAATTAGCTTCGTGAGTTCCTCCATCTCTGCCCATTTGTTCCATTGCTCCATTCAGACGGGACCCGTCGGGGCACCTCTTGTGTGGCCAGGTGTCCTACACTGCAGAAGACAGTCCTCTAGTTTGCAGAACTAGCAGAGGGCAGTGCCAGGTCTAGACCTGGTTTAAAAGTGGGAGAGTCTTGGAAAGACCTTGAAGCTGTCTACCAAGAGTAAGCTATTGAATAAGGGACTGAGCAAGGCACATGCGTCACTGATCACAATCCCCCGATATGGGGAAACAGACTGCATCTCTATTTCAATAAGGTTTTTTCCTAAATTTGTACTTATATACATACGCCTCCCTAAACAAAGATTGTATAAATTGATGTCCTCTTTTCATGATGTAATTCTTCTGGGGGGAGGGGCAATGTGCAAGTTACCACCCTAGACACCTCTAGGCATAAGCTTTCTCTATCTAACCATCCCCAGTTCTTCTTCCACCTTATCCATCCCACAATTTTGCTACTGACAACAAATAGCTTGATTTCCTGGTCTTGTTAGATATGTGAAGGCTGGAAACCCATCCAAAAAGAATTCCTTTTCTTTCCAAAAGCCCTTTTTTGTCCCCTACCCATGCCCAAATTAGGAAAATTCAGCCACTGCAGATAGTGAGTCAGTGTGATAAATACAATATTTAAAGAATATGTTCATATCTTGCTACTTCTCCTTTATTTCCTCGAAATGATTTGTAAAAATGACATAACAGGAAGACAAAGGATACAAAGTTTCTGCATGTTCTAAAGCCACACTGAAAAGATTTTAGTATAATATTCTCTGGAAAGATGGCCAGCATTGCGACTTCTCCAATTCCTCATTAAATTAGCACTCATGCCCTTTGTACAGATAGCCAATCAGTCTCGGGCACATGAGGCAGCAGCTGAACAGGGATGCCTAGCTGCCCAGTGAGGAGGGAACAGGGACATGGGGAAGCCAAGGCAGCAGCACTGCTCCAGGTGCGAATGCCAAGCCGATACATCAAAACAGAAGACGAGTGAGGACTCCTGCATCTCTATTAAGGGGCATCTGAGTCGCTTTCCCCTCCCAGCAGGAAGAAACACAACCTCACTGCTCTGCGCAGCCTCTGGACAGAGCGGAGCCGGTATCTTTCTCTCCACCTTGTGCAATGGCACCACAGTCCTGCATTAGCCCGCCCGGTTCCTCCTGCATCCCCAAGGCAAGGGCATGTGGGTCTCACAGAATCAGGCCACGGAAAGAGACAGGGAAACATTGGCTTTGCTGGGGAAATGGAATCCAGAGTGGGCCTGCTTTGGATGCAGCTGAAGGCATAATTGTCACAAAGGTGGGAGCCATGTGTCTGGACTATACCAGTTCCTCACAGGAAGCCCTGACCTACTGGCTTTCACTCCATGCCAGAGAAGGTGCTAGAACAGACTTTTTTTTCCCTGCCCAACATATTCAGGAATGTTTTTTATGTTTTGATTTTCATTTATATGGAGGAACATTCAGTCACCTGAGTTCCATTAATCTTCTGAAGTGCCACAGTCCTGAAACATCTGCTACTTTTGAAAATAAGGCCTTTGTCTTAGGTAGATGATACCTACTGCCATTGTAGAGATAGCCTCAGGAGAAAAGTTTCTGAATCTGGGGTCAAACGCAGCCTTTATTCATTTATTTATTTATGCACATATTTATATGCCAGCTATAACTGCCAAAAGGCCCTCCAGATGTGCCCGGTATGGTGCAAGAGACCCCTTTGCAAAATCGGAATAGTTGTAAAATGGGTGTTCTTAAGCAGCACTGCAGGCATGTCAGATCACAATCCACAGACTTGCTATGTGCGAGAGTGCCCTCCAGAGGCTGTTTTGGAAAACAGCGAGCATTCACAGAGTTCTTAAAAAAAACCATGGAAACAGAAAAACAATGACTATTCTTTTAACTAACAGGCATCAAGGGAACCTCTTTTCTGAGAAAGCAGGATATTCTATGGAGATCAATAATTGTCTAACGACTGGAAATGAAAGAGGTATCTGCCAGCGAAACTAGCCACAGAGAAAAACGAGAGAGATGAATAGATGTTTTATGAAATAACTTGCCGCAGCTTCGTTTGTCAGCATCAGATGCATTAAACTAACAAGTGAGAGGAAAGAAAGTATCAAAGAGGTGTACTTCTGGAATGACATTCTTAGAATGTAGTTATAACATGAGAACTAGAGTTGCCTTGGAATTGGAAGCGAAATAGTTTGCTGTTTGATGCCTTGCCTAGTGCAGTCCTAGGCAAGTTAAGGCAGAAAAAAATTTAGGCCTTTTTTCAGTCTAAAGGTGCACAGGATTGCACCTCTAGTCCCTTTTACATGTCCAGTCATAGAAATTTTCATCTCAAAATGCAAATCGTCGCCACCACCTCCATCTGCTACTCCTTTTGGCTGAGTGCGGATAATGCCAACAAGTCAGCCTTCATCTTTGTACGGCCACCCAAATACTTGCTTCACACTTTACCTACCATTTTTTCAAAGTTCACTAGATTGTCAATGAACGTCTTGTTGCCTTCGTGGGTAAAGGTCATGTCTGCAAGAGAAATTAAGACATCGACTCCATGACTAGGAGTGATTGCATCTGGCACGCATTAACATGAAGGCTCCTAGAACAGGCTGGGTGACCTTGCGGCCGGGACTACAGAGAGCCTCACTGAACACATCCGTGTGCAACCGTCAGAAATACCTCATGCCATTTCAAAATGCTGCTCACTGGGATGCCTTCTACTTGCGTCTGCAGCTATGCCGAGGGTGCAATCCTAGGGGGGTGTCAGTGACCCTCCAAACACGAGTGACTGCAGGCCTCCCATGCAGTGTAGGGCGGGCGCTGCCGCCAAGGGGGCCCTGGAAGTCCTCTTGCGCCGCACAACAGCTACAGAGCCAGTTTTGCCTGTCTAGCTATGGCTGCTCCAGGGGACGGGCAAGGCTGCCGAGGAGACACCTCGTATCTCTACTCAGCTTGTTGGCGCCAGCCCCCTCCTCCCCGCATGCAACACCCATGAGCCCCCTTCTTGGAGGTAGCTCTGCAGCCTAGGAAAACCAACCAGCACAGTTCCTCCCACGCCGGCTGCGAGGAGATGGGACGTGTGGGCAGGGATTCCCCTGTTCTGTGGTTGGAGAAATTTTCCAACCTTGGAACTGGGAATCTAAACCATGCAGGGCACCCTAGGCCCTACATAGGGGCCACAGGATTGCTTTGACAGACAGCAAAGCATATGTTTATGAAAAGAAATCCCCTTCGCATAGCCTGTCAAAGCACGGGAAACAGATCAAACATCCCATCTGAGAGCCCTGCTTTTACTTTTCACTAGTATTTCTTCTTCTTCTTCTTCTTCGGCTAGTTACCTTTTATGAGTAAAGGCATGAAGGGGATAACAGGAGGCTCCAGCTTCGCTACGGTGAGCCGGTAGGCCCTGTGGTTTCTTGAGGGGTCCTAGAAAAGACAAGAAACGATCAGCCCTCTGCAAGCATCGCTTACCAGGGAGAGCCATTTTAAAACCTTGCCATCACCTTGGAATGCCATTTTTAGGAAAACGCTTCTGGGAGAATTAGAAGAGTCATCCTCCACTTCAATCAGTGCCTGTTTCTGTATGTTAAGCACTCTCAGATGAGTGTTTACAAAAGCAGTGTCTATTATTAAATGGAAAAGTATAGCGAGAGGTATTGTTTTTAAACAACCTGCTTATCTGAATAGAAGTCTCTTTTGGGCATTTGCTTAGTCATCTCTAGCAGTGGTACAATCACAGTTCTGCAGCACTAACACATGATCAAATCTGAGGATGGAATGTACAATCTAGCAGCTATATGCAGGGATGATAATGTTCCCCACATTTCCCAGAGATTGGCTTTAAGTGGGGCATACATTTTCTCAGAATAGGTTCCCTAAGGGTATAATTTATTAGTCATACATGCTTGTTTTATCAGCACTATAATGGGATCATAAACTCTTTAAAGTCACACAAGGACACATAAAATGTTGAAAGTAGAGGAATTCGGATCAGGGGCTCAGGAAAAAAAAATCCAGGTAACATTGTGTACAGTATTAAGTTTCTCTTGCCATTTACCATTAAACTTTCAAACTCAGCATAGATCTTCTTGAACTTGCTTGGAAGTTTCTGTCAATTGATACAAACAAACAAAATACAAGACGTGAGAGTTGTATTAAGGCGTTACATAACAGATGAACCCATTTCCTGAAGCTACAGAGGGTGATTCAGCCTTCTGCCCCATACGGTCCAGCCTGGCTTGTGCTGCCCCACGCACAGGATTCCCTGCCACGGCCCCTTCTGTCTGCTAGCCGACTGGGGCTTGCCCAGGTGCACCCAAAGCAACAGGCTGAGTTGCTCCCACTGTTTCTTTAACACAGTCCCGAGATGGAAGAAGCCTTGCTCTTTTGCCACACGTTTACAACAATGCAGCAGTGAAAAACACAGCAAGTTTCCTAGCAACCAGATTATAAATAGAGCCACGAAGCTTGGCGCGGACTTGGTTCCAAGCCCCCAAATACCCTGGGAAATCTAGATAGTGTTGCTCTTGGTTCAGAGAGGCGATACAGCAGTAAAATAGCCCACGTTCCCATCTGGCTTTGCCAGTATTCATCCAAGAGGGCGGGAGTGGAAGGAGGACCACTGAAGGATCCATGTTAGCCCCACTTTACTGCAGCACATCTGACAAATGCATAATCAGGACTTCAGGAACACTGATCTGACTATCTCAGTTACAAGTTTCTGTAGTATTTACTGGTCCATCATTCCTCAAGCACAGGCTTCCCAGAGATGCTGTGTAAAATAAGGTGCTGCAGAAATGCTTAACTAGCTTTGCAACCAAAGGTTACACCATGGCCTTGGGTATTATTTTTGGCAGATTTATGCTGGTGGCAAAGGTTGCACTCATTATGCACTTACCTGGAAGGAAGCAGCAGTGAGATCAGTGGGATTAACAGTAGCCACATGCATGACTGTGCAATAAGGCCAGGATCCACAGAGCCCATACATTAGTTCGATAAGCTCTAAGGGTACATAGGCTCACTCACTCTATCTATCTATCTATCTATCTATCTATCTATCTATCTATCTATCTATCTGTTTAGGGCAAACATCAGTCTATATATGCCTACATAATACTAAAAACTTCAGATGTTCCCATAGTTTAGAGCTGCCTTCCTCAGCCTTCCAGGTGCTTTGAACTACAATTCCCCCATTCATAAGTACTGGCCAACTTGGTGCTGATGGGAGCTGTAGTCCAGCATATCTAAGAGGATCCAGGCCAGGGATTGCTGGTGACAGCAAGCATGAGTTTAAGCCAGTGGCTGAGCAAACATCAAGCTTGCAGGACCGACTTTATTTTTTCAGAGGAGGCTCCGGATCCACCAGTTCTGAACACAGGAACGTCTTCTGAGTGAGGGAACTGGATGCACCACACCAGAATCGAATCCTGGTTCCCCTGAGCATCCTTCATTTCAGCAGTATGAGAAAAGGCAGCGCTTCAGCTCCGCCCTTTCCGCTGTTGCACGGCCACTTGCTGGCAAGTGTCCAGCAAGATGTGCTTTCAGCATCCATGGAGGCTTTCTATCTGATCGAGAACCCCAGAAAACCGGCATCCCCAGTCCTACGGAAAGCCTCCACGATTGCAGGAGGCCCTCTGCTTCCAACAGTTGAGCACTACTAGTGGAAGGTGATAAATGTGGCAATGGAGGGAGTGAGGCTAGAGCTGCCTCTGCTGGAGAGGTCAAGTTCACCACTGGGAGGATGCCTGACAAGGAAGAAATCAAAGCCCAACAGTTGTTGGCTTCACCTAAAACTTACCTCCCATGTCATCGTGAGGCGGCTCACGGCAACATTGCTTAGTCCCATGATTAAAGCAAAAAAAGAATTCAGATTTTTGTATTCCTTACAGCTGGAAAAGAAGAGATTTATAGTTTGAAGAGGAAAGAGAGGAAACCTTTTTGGAGAATGATAAAAAATAATGGAAGAACACATTTTCATTGTTACAGCCCTTCTCTTCTTAATTGCATTCATCCAGACAGGGCTTCATAGCACACTTAACTTCAACAGACTGGTGAAAATAAAACAGCATATTTACTCTAAACTAACTTGAGGCCTTGGCTACAATTCTGAACATACTGACTTAAAAGGCAAATATGATTTGTACCATCAGGAGTGACTTCCAGAAAAACTTACCTTGAACTGAGTTGGTTGTTTGGGTTCAAATGACAAGGCACCCTGAACCAAGCAGTCTTTGACAGGAACTCTTTTTGATTTTTGTTCTGGTGATTTGTTCCGTGCCAGCCAGAATTTCTCTTAGAACTAGACCAGGGCTGGGAAACCTTTTTCAGCTGTGGGCCATACAGGTTTCCCACAAGCATGTTGCCAGCCATGTGTGAGCCACAGCCTGAGGTAAGCCCAGTCCCCCCAGCAGCTGGCTTGTGTCCCCACTGTGTGTCCACACACACCCGTTCTCCTGTGGGGGACCAGCTGACTGATGACACAGCCCTCCATGGGCTGCCCTGTGTCAGGGCTTATAGCTATGCCCCCTGGCACCAACGGGGTGTGGACGTGCCCCTGGTGGTCGCATCAGGACGATGGTCCACCATCTCCCTCATGGGGCCGGGACATAGGGCAGGGGATGCCTTTGGTTCCAGTGGTACTGGGAGAACGGCTCTCCCAGTGAGGCTGCCAGCAACTGGCTTCCTCTGTCCCATACCTTCTTCCTCCCACTTCCAGCAACATTGGAGATAACAAGGGAATTCCCTTCCTCCGTCTCTTCTCCAAGCTCCTGGCAGTCTCCAGGCCAAGGGGTAGGGATTAGAGAAGTGGAACTAGAGAAGTACCTGAGGCTCTGCAGACCAGAGACCGCCTTTCGCTCCAGTAGGCATTTATACCTACTGAAGCAAATTTATTTATTAGTTTTATATCCTGCCTTTTTTCTTTAAAAAAAACCCCTCATCTTCCTTCTCCTGTTCTCAAATCTTATTCCCACAACGCTGTGAAGTAGGTTCAGCTGATATTCTGTGACTGGTCCAAAGTCATCCCGTGGGCTCCATGGCTGAGTGGGGACTAGCACCCAGATGGCCCGAGTCCCAGTCCTGTGCTCTCAGCCATTACACTACACTGAACAGCTTTTATCTTGGGGTAAGGCGAGCCATGTCCACACCTGTGCAGAGAAAATGCAATAAAACCCCACTTTTCTGTTTACTTGCTCACCAGAGAGAGTCAATATCAGGAGCAAGTCATCTGGAGGCTTGTACAGATGCAGAGATTACAATCTCTTGCATGTTGCTTGGGACGCCTGCCACACAAGAGACAGTGGATTCGGCACATGAAGAGGAAGCCCCCCCCCCCCACCGCCCTCAAGGGTCCACAGCTAGATATCCCTCAGGCTAAATTTGGCTCAGGAAAAGTTGCTGAGGCCTGTGGTGCACGTACCAAACTGCAGTGACACAGGAGTGGAGCGAGTTTCTCTCCACTTCTGTTTATGGACAGGGCTTGGGATGCTGGCCCACCAACTCCCCCGTGCTTTTGAAAGTGATTGGTACAACCCCCTTGCAGTTAACCTGTCTTTTTTCCTCTGGCAAGGTATCCAGGTCAGCTTTACCTTAGCAACATTTTATCCTCACCACAACCACCTGCAGAGGGAGGGAGGTTAGGCTGAGAATCCCAGACTGGCCCAGTGTCAGCCGGTGAGCTTCATGGCTGAGTGAAGGCAGATCCCCTAGGTCCCCAGTCTAGCGCTTTCACTGCCACATCACACTGGACTGCAAGTTGCCGTCCTTTCTCCCTTAAACATAATCCCAGTTGCTGATCCCAGACCTTGTGCATCTGTGGCCTGCAGCCTTCTGCTGCTTCCAGAGTGTTCTAGATCATGGCGAGTGCCCATCCACTTGGAAGTGGCCTGACCCAAGCTGTTTTGGGGACAATCTCCCTTACATCCCTGTGGACCACTCTCCTCCCCTTTCTGCTCTAGCTTTTGTTCCCTTCACATTGCTTCTTTTAGCAAGAAAACCCCCTCCATACTCCTCTTGCTAGCAGAGCACTTGCAAAAAATCAAATGTCATGGGTTATAATAGAAAGATAAAGATAGTGGGTGTCGAGTCTGCTCAAGTCCTTGTATTGAAAAAGCCAAAGTAATTCAGCTATGCAGTTTACTACGGGAGCGCTGCAAAAACATGGAAGTAAACAGTGGGTTGTCTAGTTACACGGCAGGAGTTTAATGTTATGGTGATGCTGGAACACCAGTTGGTTGCTTACCCCTGGCAATCCTTATCACTTCTTCAGCCATTACTTTTTCTTATTAAGATAAGCCATAATTGTTTGATTTCAAAAAGTATATATAAATCATTCAAATTATTTGGCTTAATAACAACCTCCCCCCATTGTGCTGAAAATTAGGAAAAGAAACTATTTATTGTTCTTCTGTATGCATGCCACTGCCCTCTGCTGGGTGCAATGTGGAACAGCTCCTTCCAAACTGGCCAAAGCATAAGCATTTTTGCACGCTAAGAACTCTGTTCACACCATGCAAACCTCCTAAGCTTTTTCTGTGAGGCACTGAATGCACCCCGAAGCACACTGGAAATGCTTTCTTTCATCTGCAGATGTAGGCAGAGCTGGAAACACTCAGCACTTTGCACAGGTAGCTGCTGCATGACATTCTCCTACAGAGAATTTAGATTTTACAAAGAAGTCAGCTTGGGATTTACCTAAATCCAGAGGTGTGGTGGAAAATGTTTAGGTGCCGGTGCTCATCATGCCAGTTTCCATAGCAAGCCCCCAAGGAGAGGCCAATACCACAGGCACCTGTCTCTGCCTATATACTACACATGTCGTTAATAAAGCTCATCAGGACGATCACACATTGAGGACCAACCCATGCCAAAATACTTTGCATTAGGGCTAGTTCGCAAGGACTGAGTTGAGATGACACAATCACCCACTTTCAAGGGGTTCTTCTTGAACTCTGGGGTCATCATGTTCTCTGAACCCAGCCTAGGAAACAGACCATGGTGACCAACCCACAGTCCACAAGCCAGTGCCAAGTCATGGATTCTCTTCATGGGCTGTTTGTGGTTAACAAGCTTGTTAACAGAATGGCTTGCTAACAGAATTGGGTTCAGACTGTATGATAACCCATGGCTCAATGACAACCTATGGCTCAATGACAACCCACACACAACCCCTTGAGTCAATATATTGTCCTAGTCTGCATGACTGTGATGTCCAAACCTGGCATAAGTGGGTTGTTGCCACAGCTAACAAACTACCACCAACCCCAAAATAGCCCTTGCACTGTGGATTGTTTGTTTCTACAAAAATCCATTTCCCCCTGGATAAACTCAGAGAGGGCAAGGAAGCCAGAGATGGCGAAGCAGATGACATCATTCGCCCTCCTAATCAGAAACTCCAGTGCTTCAACCATGTGAGTTCCACTAAATTAAATAACTGTCTAAATCAATATATGATAATTATTTTGCTCAACCTCATGTGTATATTTGCATATTAAAACACCCCTTTGTAATATATAGTTTGAATATTCCTATGATACCTGAAATCATGGCAGGGCCTAGAGCAGCTTTCCCCCAGCTGGTACAACTGAGAGCCAGTGTGGTGTTGTGGTTGAGAGTGTGGGTCTGGGACACAAGTGATCTGGGTTCTAGTCCCTGCCCAGCCATGGTGCCCTTTGGGCCATTCCCAGACTCTCAGCCCAACCTCACGGAGAATGGGGTAAGCCACCTTGAGTTTCTTGAAAGAAAAAAAGGCAGAGTATAAATATAATAGAATAGAAAAGAATGAATAAGTAAACAAATACGCTGGGATTATCCCCATTCAGGAAACCAATGGGCATTCTAGTTGGGGATATTGGGAGCTGTAGTGCTTTGTTCAGTCTAAACATGTATAGGATTGTGCCTTTAATGTATTTCTCCTTATATAAATGTTTTAGTACAATCACTCAAGGCGGTTATTCAACTTAACACATTTGATCATACTTACTGGGCTGCTATTTTAATAAACTTCTTTAAGAGTTGAACACGTTTGCTGAGCTGGGAACATAGGCAAATCTCTGTAACCACCCAGAATTGGATTTCATTAAATCTTCGTAAAAACAAATCCAAATTTGCTGTAGTCTTTTTAAAATTGTGCCTTCCAAAGGTGTGATAGACTAGTTCCAGCTAAAAAAAGGTTGACATGAGAACAGGAAACCAGTTAGACAAATTATTTGTTAGACAAAATATCCTTGGATAATCACTAATTATGCTTCCAAATGATCTGAATATTGCTGCAGAGCAAATGTTCTACAATCTAGCAGACAAAAGCTCAATGTACTTACTAGTATCATGTATTTAATACATTTCCATAAATGTCACTAGGGTCATATAAAACAATTCAAATAAAAACAATAATGCATAAAAACATTTTCAAACCATTAAAACAACATTAAAACCACTTACAATTTAAAAAGTCCAATTAAAAATACATGCGATTTTGTTTTTTCTGTTTCTCTTCCCCTTTTAAATGCTGATTATCTTTCCCTTTCCTGGTTTGCAATAAACAGAGCTTGCCATTATGTCAGAATTAGACAAACCTTAATTAGCATAAACCACAATCGTGACTTGAATCCAAAACATGAAATGTGTTAGCAAACATTGGCATACAGTCAATCCTGGTTTGTATTAACCTTAGTTTATCTGATTTGGATGTCACAGTAAATTCTGACAACTTCAGATGACTGTTATCAATGTTTCATCAGTTAAATGAAGCCTTCTGGACAGGTCTGAATACTGTGGATTTCAATCCAAATTTTATTCCCCCATTTCCACATGCTGAACTGACACAAAGAAAGATATATTTAGTTGCCTTGATGTGCATCACCAGGTTGCTGCTCCATTTCTACCCACAGGCAAATCTGTAACTGTTTGAATAAAATGCACTTAAAACTTCCAAATTTCCTAAACACCAAAAAGTATAAAACCATATGCTGCTAAAAAAACCTTATACATGATTCATATGGGCCATAAAATAAATTTAGGTGTGATAGGACAGTATATATTAGAATGTATTTCCACTCCACTCCCCTCCCCTCCATCCTAGATCATTTTTCCAGAAAAGCAAGAATTGGCAGCAATGCTGTGTCTCTACACAGAACCACGCCCTTCCCCTTGCAGTCCGAAGTAGTACAGTCTGTTCCACCACCTCTACATTCTGCCGCCTGTTTGGGCTGCATGTTTAGTGGAGGCTGGATCCTAAGCTAGGAAAAATTTGCAAGGACATACACACGAATTCGTATTACCTCGTGCACACAGTTAAAAAGTTCCCACTCATAAATGGTCATCTGGTATGCCAGGTCTTTGGAACTCATGAGTTCAAATGTTCCCATAGTCCCAGCAGACGGCCCTTCTTGTTCCTGTAGCGGTGTCTGCAAAAAATAACAAGGTGTCTTGAAATCTTTATTATCAATCTGGTCCCTTATTCTGTCTTGGCAGCATCTTTTTTTCTTTTTCTTTCCATATTCTTACATATAAAAATATCATATAAATGTCTTATGTGACCTCTGGTTGCAACAGGCAATAAAAACTGAAATATTAGGTGGCCGATGTATTTCCTCTAATGGAGAAAACCTACACTAGAAAAGGAAAAATTGCCTCACAACACACATATGCACCATTTATATTTATAACCTGCCTTCTTGCCAAAAAGTGGCACTCATACTGCGGCACAAATGTACAAGCAAAATAGGTTCAGGTATGGTTGTGCCATGCAGTGTGCATCATCCTTTCCCCCTGCCTGGCATGTCTTTATTTATTTCATTGTTATACTGCCCAATAATTAGTGACATTAAAAGCTCAACGTTACATAGCTCTGAAAGCACTTTCACAGCTATTATGCCTCACACCTCTATGACAGTTGCATAGCTCTGAGGGCTGACAGTACTCTTTTGACACTATGTATTGCTCTGCTTTACAGCTTTCTATAGCCCAGCGTTTTAGTTGCCTCGGCTTCCCTTGGCTTGTGAGTGGCTTGGATCACACGAGCTGATGATCAGGAGCAACTGTGATGAGTGTGCTGCTCTTGGGAGTAAAATCGCTGGGACCAGGGAGCCTTTTTGTCCTTTCAGTTTTTCTGACTCTTCTCTGAAAACGACAGAAGGCACGTCTGTCACCAGCACGGAGGGTTCTAGTTAGAAACAAGATGGAACAAAATTCTTGCAAGTTGTGAGAAGGTTGCAGATTTTATTTCTTCAAAATGACTCTACATTTTCCATAGCGCAGATCCAGTGTTTGCAATCCTGCAAACAGGGATCTACTCACAGTTTTAATTTGTGCTCTAAGTGATTTAGCTTACTGCCCCAGCTGCACTTCCACATGCTTTTTATTCCACAAGAGGGCAGCGCAGTTCATCAACAGTTTCCCCTCCAACTGCTTCCATATTGTGATATATTAAATAATAGCAATGTATTATAAAAACACGTGCCACTAGTTCAGTGGGGCTCGATGGGGCTAGTCCATGAAAATATTTAGACAGATGCTACCTAACACAGTAGCATTTTCTCCCAATGCACAGTCTCTCATGCGTAGGGAAAAGATCAGCATTAAGGCCACGGGGGCAAAACTATCTTATCCATTTTATTAGGAAGGGTTAGGCTGCAAGTCAACAGTAGATACTTTTCACCTACTTTTCCTACTCTGCAGACAGCCTTAGGAAAATCACAGGACAATCACATGCCACAACTGGAATCTTCTAAAAATGCTGATCTTCCCCCGACAGGCAAGCTGCTTTTCCTCGACTGATGACGGGACTCAGTAAAACAGTCCAAACAGCTCTGGCTATGCTTAGCTTTCTCTTTTGCTTGCACGCACTGCAGTCTAAGGCAACGCATGCCGTAAGCTCGCAAGCATTTTGAGCAATGCACATTTCAAATGCGTGACGGCAATCCGTCATAAATAGCATGAGGGACGCTACAGCCACCAATTACAGAACATCTTGGCTGTGTGAACTAATTGTTGCAGGTCAGCTTGCACAGGTGTGTCTCTCTTCCAATGTGAAGGCAATAACCTTCAATGAGAAGCAAACCTGTAAGTGATCAGCCTGCTCAAAGTTTGTGTTTTGTGATGAAAAACTTAGGATCAGGCTATTAGAAAACCTGCATGAATGCCAAAGACACTGATAACACGATGCAACGCACATTGTAAAAAGCCTTTCCTCCCACAGCTGTCTTCTAAGCTATTCTAAATAGTGCTTACCTGAAAGGGTAAGAGGAAAGATGGTAATAATCCTGAAAATTTGAGCATGATCTAGCTACCGTTAAGCACTTTTAAATTATTTACATTTCAATGAAAGGCACTGGGAATTTTCCTGGTAAAGTCAATAGCACTTTAAAAAACAAACAAATGACCCTCTGGTTGGTTAGCATCCATTAACGTAATTATGAACCAGAATTAGGGATGTAGACATTTGTTAAATCCTCTCCACTGTGTTTCACAGATCGTAAAGCATCTTTTGTTCTGTCATCTACCTATCGACAGAATTGGTGTTTTTAAGGGATTTATGAGAATTTTTTTCCACTTGCATAAATGTGCATGACAGAAATGCATAAATGCAAATATGCATTAGCACAAATAAAAAAATGGTCAGCAAGTCCACAGTATCCACAAGAAATGGAAACAGCCATTCTGCCTTAGAATCAGGGGCTGAATTCACAGAAAGCCAAATGCATTTGAACTTGTTGCATGTTTTTTGGACCTCCCTGCTAGAAATACACTTTCATATACTTTGATGATTCCCTAACTTTTAGAGAAGCCTGAGGCGAGGAGGAACATGTGCTACAGGAGAAAATTTTCTTTCTTTCCATTTAATTAACTACTTTATATCCTACTTTTCTACCAAAAATGTCACCCAAGGTGGCTAGTAGTAAGAGCATGCAGAGTAAGAGTAAGAGCTGAGAGCCTGCTCCCACATTTCCATTCTCAGATACCCAGTTCTTTTTCACAGGCCTGTTTAGTGAAGGCTTGGCAGTGTGGACATTTGTCCACTCAATATTCTTCCCCCAAGCGGAATGGCCACCAGTTGAGGGCATTTTTATGCTGCATTTGGCAGATTTTTGAAATGGCAGTTTGAGTGACACTGGGAGGAGAAGAAGAGAGAAATCCAAGAGTAAGAAGGAGTAATGATAGAAGGGGTTTTAAAAAATATTTTTTGTGAGGGATAAAGAGGGAAGGGGAAGACTTTGAAAAAGGGGATAGGGGAGACCAGAAAATAGAGATAGGAAGTGAGAAGAGATACATGGTGTGAGAGAGCTGAGATAAAAAATGAGGATTTGTGGAGAAAGGCTGAGGAAATTGAAGCTAGAGAGTCCAATGCACTGCAAATGGTGGTTGAAAGGGAACTGAGAAAATGGCGGCACTCTGCCTATTTATATAATGGAAAGGGGAGGCGGGGCTCCCACCAACATTCTAGGCTTATCTAGAGGAATCTTCCCGAACATGGCACTGCACAGATGCAGCACCCACATGTGTGATGCACAGAGACCACGACAAAAGTACCACGATCTTAATTAAAACATAATCTAAAAATGGACCACTGAAACAATTAAAATACAGCAATTAAATTAATAGACAGCAAAAACCAGTTAAAATATGTAACAACACTAGATTAACTTATATGCCAAAGGCCTGCCTGAATATCCTCTCTTGGGAGTGTGTCCTGAAGCCTTGGAGTGGCCACCAAGAACGGCCTATTTCACATCATCACCAAACAGTGCTAATGGTGGCAGGACCAAGAAAATGGCCTCCCATGAAGATTTAGGCACCTGAGCTGACTCCTATGGGAGCTGTCAGGAAGCCCAGCTCCAAGTCACAGAGGGCTTCATAAGTAGGATGTGTGAAAATTTGGTTTCTGTTTCCAAATCATGCAAACACAATCCATTAGCAAGCATGAATGTGAAATGAAGCAAATTCCAGAATTAGTGATCATACTTGAAAAATGCGTATTTTAAAAAAATCACATTGAAATGTGCATTAAAAAGGAGAAAGACATGCACTTCTGAAGGATATCCTAGAAAAGTACAGCATTCCCATCTGAAATAGTGGAAAATATACGGAAAAATGAAAATGGCAGCAAGCCAAAATGAGCTTCAATTAGACTATTGGAGAATTCAGAGGCATTCAAAAAGCACCCCTTCTCCCATTGTCGTTTATAAATCACAACCAGCATTTTGCATCATGCCCAGAAACACACTGTAGCACCTGAGCCTTTTGTATACGCAGGAGTCATATGCTCCCTGTAACTGGTCCCAGCCAAAAGCCCTGAAACACTGGTCAAAGGAGCCATAGCCAAACCCTGCCCAACTTTTTGACTTGTTGAGTTTAACTCACTGAGCTTTGCCTGTTCAAGCTCAACAACTGGTGCGCTTCAGCTTCAGCTTCAGCTGTGAAGCAGTACAAAAATGAAATGAACCACAATAACAATGGAAGCAAGCATGGGTCCACACAGATTTTACTTTCTAAAAATAAAATTTCATTTTATTTAGTTACATCTTTGTGTATTTTTTAATGCTAAGTATTTTAGATTGAAAAATATCTTTGGCTCTGAAGTAAAGGCAAGGCTTCCATTTTACAGTCACTTCTGAAAGGAATGGAAGCTGATAAAGTGGCTCATTAAAAGCAAAACAAGGGCCAACATCAAGGTGTGGAGCAATGGAGTTCATGCTGACACAGCTTGGCAAGGAGAGCTGCTTTTAACAACATTAAAAGGACCAAAAAGTACATTAAACAAAATCTAGTCCTGCAAAAGTGGACCCCCTTGGAGGATGGATGGAATTAACTTACCAGTAAGTACTTGTAAACATTTTTCATGTTAAAAGAATGCAAGGCTTTTAATGAGAATATCATTGTAATTTTAACGACAGAAGTATGACTTTTACAGTAATTTATTCTCTGCCCATATAATACTAAAGCCTCTTATAAACTACTTCTATATTTTACTAGGGAAGACAATAATACCAGGGGAAGTCAAAGAGGGAAGAAGAGGAAGAAGACCAAATTTGTAATGACTTAATTCTATAAAATAAGCCACGGCCACAAATTTAAAAGAACTGAGCCGGGCTTTCAAGAACATTCATTCATTCAGTCATGCATTCATTCACAGGGTCACAGTAAATCAGAGACGGCTTGATGGCATGTAACAACAACTGTTCCTACACTCGAAAACACTGTTTTCACACCACAACTGTTGGCCATATTATTCTCCCATACTTGCATATCCACAGAATGAAATTTGGCACCTGGTGGGAATGAGAATTATAAAGACCTACAGTATAAAATCAATATGGTCTCCTTTCCCATAGTTTTGGTCTCATCACAGCCCTTTTCTCAAACCTATGCTTTGAAAAACTGCTGAAAGGCTGTACAGAAGAAATAATTGAGGATAAGAGATATTTATCTCATTTTATCAGTCAACTAATTTGAGCTAGCAAGACTCTCTGACCTGCAATGTTTTCAGAGGCCAGCATACTTACATACCAGTGAGTCAAACTGGTCCCGAGGACATGCAAAGAGACGTCCATTAATACTGAGCGTTGTAAACACCGAAACATCATTGGGTTTGAGCACCACCTTTTCTGTAAGCAGAAACGCATGTGATGCACACGTTTACCATCATAGCAGTAATTATGGCAAAAGTAAGTTGTAAGACATGCTACTGGAGCAAAACAGAATGGTGGAATCACACCTGATTTTCTTTGGCACAGTCTATTCTTCATACAGAAACAGAAACAGAGGAAGCTGCCATTCTTTGTTTGGTCCATCCATCCCAGTATTGTCAACACGGACCAGCAGTGCTGCTCCAGATTTTCAGGAAGGGCTTTTTACTGGCCTTCGTGGACACCTGGACTTCTGCTGCAAAGCAGGTGCTCTTCCACTGACCCTCTGACCCTCCTCATGGTTTCATGAGTTTACTGAGCAGACTTTGGTTGATACACCAATCTCATCATCTTCACTATCATCACATTTGTCATAGTAAGAACATCTTTCTCAAGTGCAGATTGGGGTCCCAGTCAATAATAGATAACTGCATTTTGTTTGCATTCATACAAGCCGATTCTGAATCTTTGCCTGGGAAACAGACACCATCTGCCCTAATTCATAGAGCTCTCCAAGTGTTATCTAAATCTGTGGAATCCTATTCTTGGCAGGAAGTGGGGATACTACTTCAGCAGATAAAAGAATAATATATTCCTTGGAATTTCTAGCTTTATTTTGCCAGCTTGCCCAGCATTCCCTGTCTATCTACATGCAAGGGTAAGCCTAGCTAGGACATCTTCCAGACTAGCTCATTATCTCTCACCAACCCATGGTGCCATTCCACTGGAAAATCAAGGTCAAGCTGGAAAGATAATTTCCTGAGTTGTTTCTCCTTCAACCCCCTAGCGTTCCCAGTTTGCACAGCCAAGGCCATAACCCAGGAATGGGACATACCAGGTTTGCTTCATAATCTTTTGACAACAAGAAACAGCATGTTCACTCCTGCACAGCTCTGATAGTCCATGTACTGTTGTTACGCCCAAACGGGGCGAATGACTTTAACGACCTGCAACCCTGTGCATATTTTCCAGGGAATGAGCCTCACTGAACTCAGGAGGACTTGCTTCTGAGGAAACGTGCCTAGTTACATTTAGTCCTGACGAGAGGGCTTATTTACTGACATAATTCTCTCTGTCCCAGCATTTGTGCATCAGAATGCCTCCCACTCTGATGAAAGAAGTCCTACTGAAATTGCAAACTAGCACCACCCCCTGGCATCAAGTTATTTGCAAAAGGCATAATTGCTGACCAGAATTTCCATTTGCATTCTAGTGCTGTTTTAATTAGCTCTGTCAGAGCTCACAGTGCCACACAAAATTGGAACCAGCAGTACCTCAAGGAAGCATTTCCCTTCCACACCCTTCCCTTCAATTAATGTTCAATCTTAAAGGTCAAATATTAAATCTTGTGTCAGAACAAAGTAACTCAAAAGAAGACACTTCTGCCATAGCAAAAAAATGGTTTCCTAAATTCCATTAGGAAATTAAAAAATAAAGGGCAAGATCCAGCCCACCATGAGCAGATCACCCATTCTTGGAAGATTCCCATCAGTTTCAAATAACCTTTCCCACAAAACAAACAATTTGCACTGAGCTGTTGGAGCTGGATGGGACCAAAGGAGGCATGGGGAGGTCTCCAATTCCTTCAGCGGTTCCCATATAATTGGGGGTGGGAAGAGGCAAGAAAAAGGGTTATCTAGGCTCTTCGGAATCCTCCAGGCCTGGTTACCCTGCCTGGATTGCTGTGCATTATGTTCATAGAGATAGGGCTAAACCAGAAGAATTTTTGTTGAGATACAAATACAGATAGCAAGAATACAGGGAGCAAGAGATTTCAAGACCTTAAGGCTTGGGAAGGGTTTTTTTAAAACTGTATTATCTGTCAGGACTAACCCTACCATGAAACAGAAAAAGGCAACTGCCTCAGGCAGAAGAGCTCAGATATCATGAAAGTGCAGCAAATTATTGATACATTCTTCCATCATTCTTGCTCCCAGGGTGGGGAAGAGGAGCATGTGGTGTTTTCATGTGCCAAGCTCACAGGACTGGCTTTGGGGTAGGGTGTGCCTTGACTTGGGTGGCTGCACTACTGGCAAAGTATCTGGGATTGGGCAGCATTTGGCATCTGCTCCATAGCTGGAAAACTAGAATAAGCCAGGCAGGGCTTTCAGCAGGCGATAAGTGTGAGATCTTTGCTCAGCATGTTTCCTCCCTCCCTTCCCTCCCTGCATGCAGGGCCTTCTGTGATGAAATTACTACAGAGGGCAGACCTTCTGGCCCCCATTCACCATTTCCTCTAGCACTTTGGTTTGCCCAGAGAGTCTCTTTCAAATTCTGCATCGGTCCAGGTATTGCAACTGAACAGGACCTACTGAGCTGATCGGTGTGTCATGCGATGTATCTGAGGGTACCAAGAAAACCAGCTTTTCTCTTCCATCTTGGTCTGCTGTTCCAGGGCAAGTGGTGAATGTTAAGGATTATTCAAATGACCTCACCTCCACCAGAGCTCATCTTCACCAATATCAAGCCTTCTCCAGATCCCAGCTTGTCAGCAACGGCACTGATGACTTCCTTAACAGAAGACAACACTGGAATGCGTATTGTGGTGTATGTGTGGTCTATGCAGTACACCTTGAACAAAACTGCAGACAGAAATTACACCATTTATTCATATGGACTTCAAGAACAAGATGCACAGAATAGAAACACGACTAAGCATTGCCTGTATCCCAGTGGTTGTCTCAGAATTTAAGGGTTTAAGTCCTAAGGGATGCTCAGGACACCCAGGGTAGTAGTGGTGGCTCCAGGGTTTGGAGGAGCATGCGGCAAGATGTTCTCAGTTGGCCCTGTTTCCTGAGTGAGTGTACCTACTGCTGTCTCTTCCACACCACCTTCTGTAGCAGGGATTTTAGCCTGAGAGCTAAACTCCACTGGCTGGCAGGAATGAAAGCAAAGGGTGGGGCAAAAAACAAAAGAAGGCTCAAGGAGCCCAAATATCAGCAGGTCTTATCTGAAAAGCTCTTCCTGCCAGTAACTAAGCCTTGGGAGAGCCATTGCGTCCTTTTCAAAAAGGAGAAAAGCACATAAAAGCCAGGAAACCACCACACTATCTATAGTTAGGGGGAAGAGAGTGGTGGCCAGGTTCCAGAGGAGCAGCCTGCGAGGCAACCCAGAGACTGGACTGCAACCTCAGAAGAGCACACTTGGCCTCTGGGTCTGAGATTCCCCACCCTGATAAGGAGAAGACAAGGCGTGCCCTGAATCAGGGGAAGCGGCTCATGGAGCTCTTCCCATGTCTATCTTCTGCCGCCACCGCCTCCTCCTGCATCCACCGCCACCTCCTCATCCCTCCCACTCACTGCTGCTGCCTCCACCATCCGTTTGCTCACCTGCTTACTTCCCTTCCCAAGAGTTTTCTGGCAGCACAGTGGAACATTTAAAATGCAGCTGCAATCCTCATCTTGGGGTGCAATGGGGGCAGCGAGGGGATGCAGGTGGGCAAGACGGTGGCATTATTTGTGCAGGAGGAGGAGGATGGAAAGGCACAACATGGAGCCATGTCCCATCTCAGAGCTGCTGCCCACCCACTGGGGAAAACTTTCCATGGGACGGAAGGGCTGTTGCTTCGACTTGCCATGGGGTGGCCCTGCTGAGCCTGCAGGTGCTCCACAGCCGTCTGGCCAAGGTTACACCTGGCCATGGGTCTGCCCACCTGTCTGCTCCATTATAGCACAGGCTTGAGCAGAGGAGTGAAATGGAGTGAGTGGATTTAGATGCCTGCAGCATCCTGCCGTAGGCCAGCAACTGTGCTTAGGGGGGGTCAGCCCTGTTTCCTTGCCACTGAGCACCACAGTCCCGTGATCCTGTGCACTGACGTACTTTCATCGCTTCCCCTGATGGGCTGGCGCTTTTGCGTTCTTTCATCCGTTGTGTTAAAGTGCTGCAAAAGAACTTTGTGCTGGAACAAAACAAAACAAAACAAAACAGAGCAAACACTTCATGATCACCGATGCAAGAGGGAACCCTTCTTGTACATACCGCACCTGAGTAGCAATGCTTGTGATATTTCACTATACATGCTTGGTTTTACTGAGAGGCTAACAGCTCAGGGCATTGTCACATCTTGCATTTTTATTTATCTGTTTATTGGATTTTTATCCCACATCATTGGCCAGAAGGCTCCCTGAGTGTTTTACAAGATTAAAAACATGCAATAAAAAGCAATTGAAAATTCACAATTGATATGATAATAAAAAAGAAATCAAGTGCCATTATAACTTCACAAAACCTTAAATTTTTCTCCAACAAGACATACTAAAAGGCACAGCAACAAATTATAAAACACAATGTAAAATGTTTAAACCGTTAAAATTAGCTTAACCTTGAAAATATTGGGCGAATAAAAAGGAATAAAGAGAAGGCACCGGGTGAATCTGGGGAGCTGATTCTAGAGTCAGGGTGCCACTATCAAGAAGACCCTTCTCCTTATAGCAGCCCTCCTTTTTTCCTGAGGAGGGGGCTCCTTGAGAAGGACTTCCAAAGATGATCTAAGGGGCCAGGTAGGCAATATGGGAAGAGGCGCTGCTTTTTGACAAGTGCAAGCAAAATATTGATTTGCACAATAAACCTATTTCCTAAGTATTTGTGACATGAGTACATGTGTCAGGATCTGTTCACCCCATCAACAATAGGTAGTATTTACCAGTCTGTACATGTAAAGCTCCTTTAGTGGTTAGCAAAATATCATTTTCTGTGGGTCAAACATCTATCATATTTACCTTTTTCTGAGGTGCTTTAGCTTCTTCGGAGCTATAAGAAAAGAGAAGTGGCAAATTTGAAAGTTAATTTCTGGGGATTTAAGATACATTTTAAGTATTATGCTTGTTTGTTTGCTTGTTTAAATAGACTAATATTGTTTAGATGCTTCTAATCAGAGTCACTTGTGCTTCAGAAGTTTCATTTCATTTAACTTATTTTATTTTATTTTCGATTTATATCCTGCCTTTTTCCTACAAAGGGCTCAAGGCAGCTTACATCTCCTCCTCCATCTTATCCCCACAACAACACCCTGTGAGGTAGGTTGGGCTGAGAGTCTGTGACTGGCCCAAAGTCACCCAGTTGGCTCCATGGCTGAGCGGGGACTAGAACCCAGGTCATCTGAGTCCCAGTCCCACGCTCTTAACCACTACACCACACTGGCTCTCCACTTTTAAATGGCTTTTTCATTCATGAACACACAAAGCACTTTACAGGATTAAAAATAAAAAAGATTAAAACACTGAAAAAACAATAAATCAACATATAAGCAAACCAAATTCAAAGTAGCACTAAAAAGCCATCCACAGCTAATGAGAAGAATTTATGAATAAAACATTTCCTGAGGAAAATCAGTTTTCACTGGACATCTAAATGCTTAAAAGTGCTTCCCAACAGATCTCCAAGGACAGGGAATACCCCAGTCAGCAATACAACAACACAACAAACTCTTTAACAAGTCATGGTTTTAACTTGTGCTACCTATTGCTGCTGTCTAAATTTGGTTTTAACTCTGGGTTTTATATTTTGTATTGGCATGTTTACAATTTTCCTGTTATCTGTATTTTATATTGCACTTTTATTTGTGCTATTGTAAACTGCCCAGAGAGTATCAGCTATTGGGGTGCACAGAAATAAAATTATCCTAAATGTTACTGGGGAAAGTAGAAAAACATGATGCTGTGTTTGGTATACATATTTCTAAAAATGTTCTACCTATTTTTGGCTGATGGTTAGGCTAAAAAGAGTGTTCCTTATATACAGCTAAAGGCATTTACAAAGGATCACTGAGAGACAAGCAAACTCAAGGCTGCACTTACATCTGTTTCATAGTTTTCTCTAGCTCTGGAAGCTGGTCTTTGAGTGCTGTTATCACCCTTGTATCATCTGATACAGATACATAAAATTCCTGTTAAATGATAAAGAACACAATTCAAACAATAATACAGAGTCGACAATTCAGTATGTCAAGGTATGTCTCACAGGTGCACTGACTGCGAATAAGAATTAGCTATTCGATAAACTGACCTATCCATGTTAGATTGCAAACATCCATCTATAGCTAATGGTTTAGAAAAGCATCTAGACCATGGGTCCTCAAACTATGGCCCAGGGGCCAGATCCAGCCCACCATGCCCATTTGAACCCGCCACATGCACCCGCGCCTGCACCCACACCCGCTGTCGCCCACCCCCCCGTCGTGCAGGGAGGCAGCGCTTTGCTCACTGAGAAAACCATCTTCAAGCGAGCAAGCCACTGCCTTGTGCACCCGCCTCGCGGCACGCGCCCGCCCCCACCTCCCCTCGCCCCGCGCGCCCGCCCCTCGCCTTGCTGCATGCCCTGCCCCCCGCCAGCCCACGCACACTGCCAGCACCACCTTTCTGGCCCCCGCCCAGCACCGGCAGCTTCCAACTGGTCCCCTGGTGGAAAAGCCTGAGGACCCCGATCTAGACCAGTGCTGTACCCTCAAGAAGAGTGCAATATAATGTTCAAAGGGATGGAAGAGGTCCTCTAAAACCTATTTTACCTCTAATACAAGATAATCTCCACCTTTTGATGCCCAGGACTGCTAGTGCCAACTGAGATGGTTACTCCTGGCAACAAATTTGAGATGCAATTAAAGGGAGCCACGCGATTTTAATAGTTTTTTTTTTTTTTTAATGGCAGCAGGTTCTGCCATTTTGATTTTCCAGCTCATGAACTAAAATGTCTTGGCTTGACAAAACAACACTGGCCACAGTTGCCTTGTATGTACAGGAATGAGAGTTACTCTATTTGATGACAATTTTATTTATTTATTAGATTTTTTCTTACAAACTCAAGGCAGTTTAAATCATTCTCCTCCTCCTGCTCTCCATCTTTTCCCCGCAACAGCAACCTTGTGAGGTGGGTTGGGCTGGGAGTCTGTGCCTGGCCCAGTCACCCACTTGGCTCCACAGCTGAGCACAGAATAGAGCCCAGGAAGCCTGAGTCCCAGTCCTGCACTTGCAGCCACCATACCACTCTGGAGATCTCCTCAGTGCAACCCACTCCACAGGTCATTCTTAGACCCTTGATCTCCTCCCTGAAATTAAAGCCAGCTCCTTTCAGCAAACACTCCACACGTGGCCCTACCCAAGAGAAAGAAACCTCCTTTTGCACCTGCAACCAAACTCTTTGCAGGAATTCCAAAGCTCAGAGAATCCTCGGTCTGGCACAGCTCTCTGCTGCAATTGTGACGGACACTCGCTCGGAAGCAGCAGCTGCAGCAGTTGTGACCTACCTCCAGAAAGGCCATTGCAGACTCATCCTCTGGCAGGAGATCGCCATACAAAGCAGCCCACAGCAAAACGAGGCGAGTGACTCTCCTCTTATTGTTTAGGGCATAATCCATTTTTTCTTGCTCTGTTCCTTGGGAAGGCTGGGCATGATAAGTGGCAAGATGTCAAGGAAAACATTTGCTTTTATTCCCCCCACCCCCCGGCACATAGAATTTCCCATTGCTTGCTCCTAACATAGCAAGCACCATGAAACACAACTGCCTGGTAGGGTTTGAACGATCAATGATGTTTGTATGTGCTTTGCATGTTTAAGGGTTTTCGCAGCTTTTGATGGCTTGGCACTGTTGTGAGTGGGGAGGAAGGAAGTTAAAGCAAAAGGGCATTTCCTAATAAAGCCTGAGTGGTCAATTGTTCATGGGGTATGGAGCAATTCATGACACTGCTCTGGGCTGAGCATTGCGGAGGGCTGGGTACATGGAACCACTCGTGCACCGAAGGCAGTGTCTGAGGCATGTGTCCCACATTAAGGGAATTCTCACTATTCTTTCTCTTCCCAGGGGAGAAAGTGGAGGGTCCCAGCAATTCAGAGAAGTGGACTTCCAGGTTAGGGTAAAGACAGACAGAGCAATATCAAGTCAACTGACTCTTGAGGAAAATTAAAGTATAACATAATTTGATCTGTCATGTTTATCAGGGACTAAAATCCCTTTCATCAGCTGCAGTTTTTTTTACTGTTGCTTTTGTTGTTGGTTTTATGGCTGTTTTTATTGCTCTTAATGTCATCACAGTTGCATGTGCTTTGCTGTTATTTATTTATTGCTACATGATGCCTTGGGAGGGCTGTTGATCTGAAAGGCCAGCAAGCAATATTTTACCTAAATAGTTAAAAAAAGTGTGTGTCATAGTAAATATGTTACTTTGCTAAATTACTGTAAGATTTTTTGTAGATTTGGGGGGCAACAGACTAATAGGGACATCCTTCTGGAAGATAATCAAGAGGCACACAGGATTTAAAAAATATTTGTTGCAGATAGCTTTATAACTGTGCCAGTTCTTCTGTTTACCGTACATAAGGTAGAAAACCAGGATCATCTTTAGGTGCCGTCTGGGTGTGCCTGTTCATCTCCTTCATACCACCGGAAGCAACAAGAGGTTTGCGGGGCAATGCCTGTGCAGACCCAAATATTGCTTCTTTGACATGCCTGCCCCACTTGCAAAATCAGCTACACTGTAACACAGAAGGGCTCCGGCCATCTCAGACTGTTTTGATTTGCACAGGTGGGACACCCTTGTTATGAAATGGACTTTGGTTCTTGTTAGTGAGCCAGATGAGAAGCCACTGGAACATGTTCAGCACCAAAGATCTGTAGTTTTTTGTCTCTTGATCTGCAGGTTGTTAGTGACTGCAGTTCAGGCTTCTCTGTCCTGATGGAATGTCCTTACGCCAAGTGTGATTAGTACAATGGGACACACCCAAAGCTGATGTGCAAAAGAATATATGCATGTATGTAAGTTTGCAGGGTGGGTGTGGACTACCGGAATTCCAGGCTGGACTTGTCAATCAAGGAAATAAAATGGCTGGTTCACATTTTTCTGATCTGCGCTGTGATGTCGTCAGCTCACAACCCTGGGGAAGGACTGCTGGTGATCCACTGACCCTCTTCATGGAGATGTGGCTCCGTCAGGAAGGTGCACAGGCACGTTCTTCCCTAACACAATCCAGGCTCTCCCTTGGCAGCCTTCTGTGCCGAGAAAGCTGGAGAAAGCCCGCCTATACCCATCGCTCTCTCCCTGCTGTGTGCACTTCCGCAGTGACACACCAACCAACCAACCAAGAGTTCAGCACAAGCAATGGAAACAAGAGATACTTTTAGCGTATACATGATTATGTCATGGCAGTTTTTAAACTAGCCAAGAGAACTGACTGCAATGTAGGCATGATTGTTAGTACTGACAAGTCAATACTGAAGAGGGGGTAGCCTCTGCCCTTGATAAGAGTAGCTGCAGTGATGGAGAAAGCAGAAGCAGAGTTCCTTCTTCCTTGCCCACAGCCTTGAAGCAGAACAGCAAAACTGGTGTACCCCATCATTTCGAAATGTACAGTGACATTTTTGTTTGACCAAGTTTTTGTTTTATTTAAAAGTACTTATTCAGGGATAGAAATTCGGCCCTTTGAGAGGGCAAATCTTAAGATGAAAATCAAACATGAAGACTGGGTTCACACCGTATGGTAAGTGAGGGTGGCTCCTAACCCAAGGGTGGCTTGCCTTGCCGTCTGAACCCAGTCACAGTGGCTGGAGTGTGGTAGGCAAACCATGCTGCTGGATTCCAACAAGACACCGAGCCATCAAACCTCACATGGTTTGTCTTCTAATAATCCAGTCAGTGACTGTTCGGCACAGCCTTAGCTTAAGGGATTGGATGGATGGATGCTGACTGTGCCTTATAACATCTATCTCAACCTCCAATGCCAGGGTCATTCCATCTGATTTTGCAAGCACTGACACGATTTCTGGAACTAGCCCTGCTTTCCCTGGAATACACTGATAGGCAGACTTGACAGCCAGAGCGTTAGCTATAGATAGATATTCGCAAAGCAGGGAAAATTGAATACAATCATATTTTGTACATTCCAGGTGAAATTAATGGCCCAGAATATTTTGCAGCTCTGACAGCTCTGACAAGCACAGTGCCGTCATGCAGATAATTCTTAAAATAAACTCTTTCCTTCAAAGTATGAGGACTCTGACAGAAAATCTGTGAGGTTATGAAGGCTGCACACAAGGCAAAACAGTATTTCCGAAAGAAGAAAGGGTGTTAGAAAAGTGGGAATTCTAAAATCAAATGTCCACAGGCCGAAGGACAAATGTGACCATGGATCCAGAAAATATTACAAATGTGCCCACAGATTAAAAAAAAAAGATTGCCTACCATTTGTTTCTCTGCAAGGGATGGTAACATGTACATGATATGATTAAACCAGTCATTTCAGAAAACGTTCGGGAAGTGGGCCTGTTAAACCGTAATTTTATAACCACCTTTTGGAAATTATAAAAAAGTCCTTGCAAACTGCTACAACAGTTTGACTCCTGAGATTTGGGACCTCTGCAGAAATCCACCTTTTCATCTAACTTGGAAAATATTTAGCCAAGATCAAAAAAGTTAGACAGGCTATTTTACGGAGGCGAAAAGCAGAGAGGAGATGTTGCACTGCAGGCATTGGTCCATATAACATTTCAGAAGCCAGGTAATACTGCACTGAGTCACTCCCAACATGCAGCCTTTACTGTGCAAGCACTATAATTATTTAATATCCTTTTACCTGCTTATTAAGTGACTCACCACAGGCACCAGTAATTTTCCCCCCAGATCTCTGTTGCTCATCAACTTATTTTTAATTCTGCTAATAATTTCTCCCATGCAAATTTGCCACATGAAAAGGTAGGGCCCTCCCTCTCCAACATTCATGCCGCATATCTACAAGAATAGTAGTGCCGAGTATAAATAAATACCCGAGAGGCTGTAATTTCTAAGGTGTTACTCAATAATGATGTTGTAACTGAATACTGATTCCATCCTATTTTGCAGTTTAACTTGTAATACAGCCTGTTTTGGCCTCAACGTGACTGGGGACCTGCTTCTCTTGGGGCACCATCCCATGCATGTTTAGTCAGAAAAAGTCCTAGGATTTCCATCCGTGTGTATTGGGGAATGCTGGGAGTTGCAGGACATTTTTTCTGTCTAAATATGCATAGGGTCATACCCTTAATGTGGGTTATTAAACTAGTGCTCCATTTTTTCCCCTGACTGTTCTCAGTCAATTTGATGAAAAAAGGATTGCTTTCAAAAAGAAATTAAAAAGAGAAGAATATTTTTGGTCAGCTACCCATGGCTTGAGTTTAGCATTCTTGGGTTTACTTTCTTAGGACTGTGTTTAGGTACTCGGTCACTTTAAGTGAAGTCCAGGGGAGGACGTCACACGCACTCCCTCAGCTTTTTCAGGTCAGGAAGCAAAGGCAGCCTCCAAGGTTGCAAGGCGATGGAGAGGTGTGCCACAGACAGAAATGCACACGGCACTCTCAGGCATCTTGCAATCCGCCAGTACCACCTCATATAAAACATCCTGAGAAGGAGGCAAAAGCGGAAGGTTCCCTCACAGGGAAAGAAAACTATCAGGAAAGTGGAGGAAAGAGTCTGGCACAGCACTAGCCCCACCTCTTCCCTGGGGGTGGATAACACTGCCCTTTTCTACCTCGTCGCCTGTCCCCACCCCACTCCAGAACTCTAGGAGAAGCTTTCAGAAATGCAGTGTTTTAAGGATCCTGCGGAAGGTGCTCCATCCTGAAGAATGACCACTAGAGTGGAACTAAAATTTATCAGGGAAATACATCTCAAATAAGCTGTATTTCCAGAATTCTGAGATCTTTCTTTTTTTACTACCCACCCTAGGAAAAAAACTGCTTTGCAGAATTCTCCCATGTTTTCTTCACCAGGTGTTTTTTGGTGCTGGATGCCCTCCCTTCTTTCTCCTTCACAATGCCCTGGAATGATATAGGATATGGTGCATTTTGGAGAAGCAGACTAAAGAAGCCTAATCTCCCTTGCACAACTGATGGGTCCTGCTTGTCCACTGCAATTGACAGGGTCGACTACTTGCAGAAGGAAACTGGTGGAGTAGAAAAGGACTGGCAAGAGCATAAATGCCCTGTTAGATCTGCTCGGTGTTTAGACTTGAGAAAACCATTCCATCTCAGTACACTGTTCTTCTGTATTTACACAGGCCTTTCAGTTCCCTGACTCTAAGCTATTGGCTGGGTAGGTAGGTGGTCAGGCTAGAACCACTGAAATTCAATGCTATGTGAGGTTTAAACCCCAAAAGGACAAACCGTTCAATTCTGGGAAAAGAAAGTATGGGGACAGGGCTGCCATGGGTCCAGTAAAAGACAAAATGAATGCAAGCAGTGTAGCAGTGGTGGTCTACACATATGCTAAAGGCTGTCCTCAGCTAGAGATCTCATAGCTACAAGCAAGCTGGCTAGACCACTGTCTCTTAGTAAGCCAGACTGTTCCCAGTAAGTACTTTTTGCCACAGCTAAATATTTTGACCTAAAATATTTACAGCAATTTGTGGAGCTTGTTTTCCTTTGAAGAAGACAAAGTTTTCACTTTTGATGAGATTGATGTTTGAAACTTTGATTTTAAATAAACTTCAAAAAGGATATTGAGCCATCAAAGCTGGGCAAAGCTGACTATTTGGCATGAACACACAGTGCATCATCACAAAATCATGTACACCAGTATCTGTGAACAGAAAACCATAAGAGTACATTATTCCTGCATGTTTTCCCAAGATAATTGCCTTTTTAGTGAAAAAAAAACCCTCTTGTTATTTCCCTAAAGAAGACAAAGGACTTATTTTGCCAGACATGTTTCCACTCATGAAATGTTTAAAGTATAACTCTACACCAGAGTTTAGCATAAGAACAACCCTAGCTTCCTTACCTGAAAGGAGATCAGAAATTTTTGTCCGTTTTTGATTAACTGCAGGTTACTGTGCCATCCTCTGCACCTGATCAAAACAGGGTTAATCATAGTTATAACTATGTTATAACTATAACATATGTTATAACTATGTTATTATAGTTAATCATAAACCATAGTTTATGAAGCTAACTTGTTTTCACTAATCATTGTTAAGGTTAGTCACAGTTCAGGGCTCAGAGAACATGCTAAATTGCAGTGACTATAAAATGGAAGTGGAAGTTTCTGACCCCTCCACAGCTATGCTGGTGAGGAGAGGATAAGGAGAGAAGCAGGGCTTGTACTCAAATGCTAAACCATGATTTAGTGTTACAGCTGAATGCACCCAAGACTTCTAGCTGTATGAAACAGGCCTTTTCTGCCTCTTCTTTCTGGCTGAAGGGTCTTGGGCCCTCCATACCAAAATCCCACCCCTGAGGTTTTGGGAGACCTTCTGAAACAGGATGTGGTGAAGAGGGGTGATGCTGAAAGGGAGGGGAGACTGGGGGACTGGTGGAAACAGAAATCCATGCAAACCTCTTTCACAAGAGCACAGATAACAATATATACATATTGACAGACAAACTCATAAAAGGAAAAACATAAAGTGCATCATACATAAACTATCTGACTAATTGAATTACCTGTGCTTAATAATAAATTTCCACAGATGTAAAGCATCTGAATCATATGAATTTTAGCATTTTAGCGAACAAAATGTGGAAATAAACATGCAGGTCACTTGAAGTTTCTTCTTCAAGGTTGCAGTCCTGTGCACTCTAACCAGGAAGCAAGCTGCTCTGAATGCAGGGACTTTCTTCTAGGAACATGAATAGGGCTCTGCTGTGAGTTTTCATCAAGTCTACACATGCCACAATTCTGTGGGAGCACAGAAGAGCTGCAGAATGCGCTACCCCTTGTGGAATTCACCTCCTTGCGAATCCTAGCTTTCTTCTTTTTCCAAGCCTAAGTTTTATGATGGTTTAGAGACAGCTTGCAAGTATGTGGACAATGCCAGAGCCAAGAAAAAGAATATTTCAATTGTCCACAGTGTGGGCTTTCAGTGTCCTTCTCAGATCTCTTGCTCTTACCCATGGTAAGCAGAATAAGAATACACGATCTTGACAAATATGGACAATGGGGAACATTGTGCATACCTGCATAATTTGCATAATTTGACAGGCTGAGAAATTCTGTGCAGAAATCGGATCACCTTGGTTAAGAATTCCGAGTTCTTTTTCTAGGTATAAAAGTGTCTTCTCTGAACTTGTCTTATGGCATTTTCACAGCAGCGCAACCTTTAGATGAAACTCTGACTTGCTGAGTTTGGCTTCTTTTCATAAATGTCAAATTATAAAATCCAAAGCAGTGCTCAAAGAAACTGACAATTTAGTTGATGTGAAATGTATGGGCCACCCACTCAGCCCATTTCAGATCTGGAGGAGAGGAATGCTCCAGCCTATGCTGGCGCAGGGAGCAAAGGGCTAAAGTTTCTACTTCAACTTTGAGCTCCTGGCTATGTCTTTAAAGTAAAGCACTATTTGACCCAAAGGGGAGACAGATACTAATGACTGTTACTAGCATTGTCATGACTGACAGGACTCCACACCAAGAGTCCTCTTCACACTATTTTTGCTATTCTATGCCAGATTTCTTCAGACCAGTTATATTACAACTTTTTATATTTTGTAATAAAGATATTATGAGGGAAGGTTTGTTTTGTTTTTTGGTAGTATATTTTTCAGTGTGAGCTAAACTTGTGGTACTCTTCTGGAGGAAAAGGAATGACTTTAGCAGCTGCAAGGAACAACTGGCTGTAAATGCCCCGGTAGACATGTCTACTCTGAAGTAAATCACATTGCCTTCAGTGCCTTTACTCCTGTGAAAATCAGTATAGAAGAAGAATTACAAGGGACAACTAGCTGAAAATGCCCTGCGATATGCTTCTTCCCTCATTAATTTGTCCAATCCTCCTTTTAAAAGGCCCAAATTGGTGCCCATCACAACATTTTATGGAAGTAAATTCTATAGTTTAACTATAAGCTGTATGAAAAAGTAGTCCCTTTTTGTCTGTCCCAAATCACCAACCAATCGCTTTCACAGGATGGCCCCAGGTATTAGCACTGAAGGAGAGGGAGCCAATGTTTCCTGCTCCATTTTCTCCACACCGTGCATAATTCTGTACATCTCTAACATGCCTCCCTGGACTCGCCTTTTCGAAAGTTAAATGATTTCAGCTGTTGGAAGCATCTCTCATGGGGGAGTTGTTCCAAGCCCTCAGCTGTTTGTTGCAATTCTCTGAACTTTTTCCAGCTCTACAGTATTCTTATTTTAGGTGCGGCAACCAGAATTGTTGGATGTTTGGAGCAGGCGTATAAAGGAAATAATGAAATCCAATGCTGGGGGACTAAATTTCAGATATTTTATTTCAGATATTTTATTGTCCTACAGGACAATATGAATCGTTTTAAGCTTGGATATTCTCTCTGAAGCCAATTGGCTTAACTTAAATTGCTGAGATCCCCAATGACTTCTAATATATGAGAATGCATTTTCATGTAATGTAGACAAAATCCAATGGATGTTAGCCAGGGCATTGTTTTCTTTCGTAGTCTTCTATATAACAAACTGTTTCAGATGTTTCATGTCTTTTATTAATTGCAGCTAGTGCAAATGAGAAGAAAAATGAGTGAGTGATTACAGATTGTTTGTGCCTCTAAAACTGAAGAAAGGAATATCATGATTGAAACTGTAGGTCATACAGTCACAAATAGAATACTGCCCCAAGATATTTTGGGTAACAACCATTTCAAAATACTTCCAGAAGATAAGTCACACCGGAAAGTTTTGGAAAATAGAATAAAATGAAAAGGGGGTGGGATTCTAACAGAAATGTGAAACTTGGTACCAAACAATTCCAGACAATTCTTTAGGGCAGTACAGTATTTGTGTGGAGTATATTGCCATACCTAATACACGTGTAAAGTTTGACTGTGGCCTTACACTGTCTAGCTGTCTGAATCCTTCCTTAAATGATTTGGTATGCAGAACTAAAGAGTTTACTTCTTATGCTACTCTAAAATTATGATAAGGCTTTTATTAATTTAGCCTACCTGATCCTTCATTCAATGGTGATTCAAGGCGCAGAGTTTCTAGGAAGTGTTCCAAAATTTTCTCTGGAGTTCCGGACATCACAATATACCTGAATAAGAACAACGAAAATTATTACCTAAACTACTACTCTGCACTGCACTTCTGAAGAAGGAGAGGTATACTGAATAAACAAGACAGTCTTATTATGGAGCATGTCTTTTTTATTTTGGCATATGTTTAATGTAACAATAAATACGTAATAAAAATAGTAGAAGCAATTATAATTCAATCAAATTCACCAAAATGACCTGTACAGTTTTATCACTTGGCTCAGTTTCATTAACTGGCATTAGGTTTATTCAGGATAAAAAAGAGTCCAGGTTAGGAGTCCAGGTTAGTAAATACAGCGGAAATACAATTAAGGAAGAAACAGGGAGAGAGAGAAGCAGCAAAGTAAAGCAGTGACGTTTCCAGAACCAGGTGCTTTAGGGACAGAGACCAGCAAAATAAGCATTTGTTACACAAGACAATTCTGAGATCAGCCGCATTGCTCACAAAAGATCCAAAACAATATTATGGACCATTTACCTCTGCCATTTTGTGAGGATTCGCAGGAATGAGAAAGAGGCATCTTTTCCACTTTATGCTGAAGCCCTTTGTGGCAAAGTACTTAAGACTTGCAGCACTATGCATGTCTAGGCAGAATTAAGTCATATATCTATGAGCATCCACCAGCCAATATAGGTGGCTTGGGCATTCTGGGAATTGCATGACCATCCTGTGCAAATATGCCTAGGATTCCACCCTAAATGTTTTTGAAAATTTGTATGCTCCTGGAATTATCTACTGTTTTCTTTTTCATTTTGAGCTCTGCATGGGACAATGTGATGATCTTACAGGGAATAAGTAAAGCGACTGATCAATTAATAAGCAGAGAAGATAGGTGTTCCACTGAGCTCATGTAATACTCTCAGCTGCTAAATTACAAGGTGTAAAGATAGAGAGCTCATTATGAAATCCAGAAACCTTGCTTGGGTCACGTAAAGCAGCATAAATGAACTTGTCCATTCATTGGAGGCTACAGATCAAGGTCTCCTGGTGGTTCATTGACCTGCGCAGGCACATCTGGTGGCAAGCAGTGGGAGCACCTTTCTTGTTCTGGCACCCCACTTTTGGAATTCTTTTCCAACAACACTGTGACAGGTGCCAGCCCTTATCAGGTTTGGTACCAGTTTAAAAAAATGACCTGTTCAAAATAGACTTTTGCTGCTTTTTATATACTTTCCTAGTTGAGTTTTCTGTTTTTACCGTGGCTCTATTTTCATTGTGCCTTTTGCTTATTTTAAATTGTTGTTTTAATTAATCCTGTATGCTGCTTGTGAGTTGGTCATGAGAGGCAGTATATAAACATTTGCAATAAATAATATTAACATCTCCTGAATCCACATCCCCAGGTGTAGCCAACAGCTAAGGAAGCCATTACTAAAGGTGAGGGGATTCCGGTCCATTGGGCACCTCTGCACTCCAAGCACTCAACTGTCATGTATCACGGAAAAACGAAAACTTCAGTTAAACTCTTCTATTTCCTTTTCCAGGAAATGTTGGAGGGATTTTTTTGGTGTTGGCTAAATACTGGGTTCTTACAACTTTGCATCCTGAATTCAAGTGGAGGGGGAAGTTCCCTCCAGTTCTCCCTAAAAAAGCTCCTGCTGAGAAGCAAGTAGTGGAGCTAAGCTCCCAGGAGCTTCTCCTTACTTTGAGCGCTGGCCATCACACACTTCTTTTACCTGCTAGCCCTTTGGGAAGAGCTGTATTGATGTCCCAAGAACACAAACCCTTGTTAAGCCAAGTGAACATCCTTGCAGAGAGACTAACTGGGTATCTCGGGGAGTAAAGCAGAGAGTGAGAGAGACAGACAGAGAGAGTTCGGTTTGCCGTACTTTGAATATGAAAGTGAAAATGAAACAGAGGAAGTGGCTTGCGGTGCCAGAAGACTAGTTGGCAGCAATGCTCTGCAAGACGCCAGTCAGTTAAGAGAGGACGTGATTGCTCCTGAAAAGAAAGATCTTCACAGTCAGCTTTTCAAGGGATATCACTTTGAAATGGGGCTGTGTTTGGGGTTAGCGGGACATGAAATGGGTCCAAACTGCATTGAGGCCACTCGCTCCCAATCTGAAGCCTTTCTCAGCCTTTTACATCCCTCCAAATTAGAGAAGTCGGCCCCAAAAGCTTTCTTGTAGGGTGGGAACTCACATCCCAGTGCAGTTTGGGATTTGTCACCAGTGAGCAAAACATTTTCTGAGCACGCCCCTTCCCCATCAATGTATTACATGGCTGTTTTCTGGGCTGATCCCTTGTTCAGACTATGTTCTAATTTCCTGACATGGAGGAAATATCAAAGTACACAAATAAGCACATGTAAGAACCATGTTCCTTCCAGGGCACCTTGGGAACTTGACGGCTTCTCTACATGAGGCACTCTTCGTGCGCTCACTCAGAGTAGTTTGCCAGTGCTTTACATGATGTCGCAATTTTCCCATGCTCTTCCATGGTTCCCAAGCATTTCCTCAACCCTTTTTTGGAAAGCAAGCAGGGTGTACTATTATCTGAAAATGGCAGGATGAATTGTAATAAGAATCTGGTCAATTTTTGCATTTCCACAATACCACAGCACTGTTTGGTGGTTGTGGAATGGGACGTATAGAAGAGAGAGAAAAGGCTCCAGAAAAAAAAAGAGTAAAGGGGGATGAGCTGAAAGAATCTGGAAGCAGATGCCTCAACAAAGTGGTTGTTAAAAGCCTTGTGTCGTGTTGAGAGGAGGGGGCTGGAGATCTTGCATGGAGAACTCTCAGCATCTCAAAGAGTTCTAATTTGCAGCAAGCTCCCTTATTTAGTGATTCAGAACTGCTAGGCTCTAACTTTATAGTATAGTTAGGGTAAGAAGAAGGGAACAAAAGTTTATTTCAGAGCTGACATAGGGATATTTTTCTTCTAAGGCTTTTCGATTCAGATTCCACCTAGCAAGGCAGGAGCTCCAAGTGGAACAAAACACACTTGATCAATGCCCAGGAAACTATCTGGAACCAACCAACCAACCAACCAAACAAAAACTTGCTCTAGCTAAAAATGTTCAGGGGAGCAAGCACAGCAGAGGGAGAGAAATCCGTGATCAGGGGTAGCCATGACAGTTTGACTGAACAGTTCTCATATGCTTAGGAAACTGGCAGTTCAGCTAGTAGGCAGAAGAAGATGGGTCTTCCTGGAAGCTTTGGAAGAAGCTATACCAAAGCAAGAGGTACGAAGTGGGAGAGATTTCTTCTCTGTTACCACAAGATAGAAAACTTTAAGGGAATTCTTAGTTACTAGAAGACAACAAGGCATTTCTGAGGAATCATGAAATTAGGTTAGCAGAACAGAGGTAGGAGAGTTGCTTGGAAAGTGGCAGGCATTTGAGACTCAAGCCTTCTGCACCAGCAGCACACGATTCAATCCATGTCGAAGTAAAGGATCTCAGGTAATAGTGCTGGACAAAGCTTCTTGCTGGGATACTGCTTGGAGGGCTTCTGCCATCGGAAAAGACAATACGGAGCTAGCTAGATGGTCACAGGTAGTATTTGCATAATGATCAGTATTCCCATGCTGCTCAGCCTGAACTACGTAAATAAACAGAACTAGTAATGCAAGCAACTTGAACTTTCAATTATAGCCAATCTTAATTCAGACAATTTTGGCTAGGAATTAATCCAGTTCAATTCTATCCCACACTGAATTATGCCCTCCTTGGGTATTCTCATCAGAGGCTGAAATAATGCAATTGCTTCTGTTTTTAAAGGTAGAATTTAAAAAAAAATGTTCTTAAGATGAAAGTCAGTATATATGCACCTGAGCACCCCCAAATCTTTATCTGTGGGGCTTGATTTGGTGCAGAGTGAATAATGCACAGATGCACACTATTAGAATTAAAAATCCAAAAACTAAAATCTATTTTCAACGCATTTTCAAAAAGTTTTTATCACTAATTGCTCTGCTTAGTAACCAGAACAATTATTGCTGGCACACTGCTCTTAAAAGCTTTTGTACATGGCAAAAATTTGTACCAAAATCTCCTTAGAACTGACTGCGAAAATCTGAAGGAACTCAGTTTTTGAAGGAAATGTGCATGGCTGGGTAGTTGGTCCTTTTCACGTGTGACGTTGCGCATTTCTTTGTGGGGTCAATGAAATCATTTGCATGCATGCATCATAGCACCATACCACAAAAACATACTTCTGCTGAGGCGGCTGTGAGATTCCCTGATTGGCAGCCCTGTTTCCTGCTGGTATCTTCTCCAGCACCAAAACATCCTGGTCATGTTCCTTAAGTCTTACAGTATTTGCTTCAACGTCCTGAAAGAATATTTTAAGAATTAGTGCACTAGATATCAGTAACTTCTAAAACATTGGTGTAATGATTTAAAGTGTTATGGGACTGTGTTCCTAGTTTCAGAAGTGTGTGGGGGGTAAAAGAGGGGGATGAGTGAATGGGGTGACTGGTTAGCCATTGAGAGTGTAAGGGCAGCACTTGGAAGTGTGTGAGGAGAGAGAAATAGAAATGTCAGTCAGTCAGCTGTGGTCTTTCAGCATTGACAGTCAAGTGAGAAGTGTCAGAAGGGTTTTGGGTTGCCAGAAGTCTACAGAGCCTAAAGAGGCTGCCTTCTCATTAGAATCCACCAGAGTGCTGTGAAAAGCACTTCAGATTCCAAAGAAGAGGTAGAAAACTCAGAGGACACATTAGTGAGAGGGGAGAGCCAGAACCTTATACTGGGAAGTATGATAAGGGCATGTAGAGAGAAGCTGACAGAAACCTGAGCACAGGGGAGAAATGAGGATCTGTGTGTGAGGGTTGGGAAGACTAAGAGTTTTTACATTGTTTTATTTACTAAGAAAAAGATGCATAACATCTTGAAATTATTGTGTTCATTTTACAAATAAAGTTTTATTTTGTTTATAAAATAAACAAAACTCAGAGTCATAAGCTGTTTGATGATGAGTGTCTCATATTCAGGACCATATAGTCCAGCAAAGGAGCCTTACCGCTTGATAACCATACTGTGGGAGGGTAATTGGGATTGGGATTAAATTCCTGGTGGCAGCATTACCTACTATGAGAAACAGAGGGAGATTTAAGAAAGTTAAAGACACTCCATATCCCAACAAGTTATAGGAGTGCCCACAATTGTACTTGTGACAGTTGGTTTGACTCAACGAATGCTCCAGCAATGGAAGAGAAGGAGCCCAGATCCAGTGGAAACTTCTGCTGGACGAAGGAAGAGGAGAGGAAGGCAGTGTGCCCTCCTCCTCTGGGCAGCCCCTGCACCTGCACTGCATACCGTGCTGGAGGGTTCTCCAACCCAGGGTGAGAGGGCTTGCCACACGCAAGGTAAATTCGCAGAAATGGTCCACCATTTCTGCTAAAAGAACTGCCCATGAGTGGAACTTTGCAACAGAGGAGCTCAAGCTGTTGTGTTAATTAGGATCCAAATCAATGAAATGCAAGTGACTTTCATGTACTGCAAATAAATACTGGAAAGCAGTACGCTACAGTTCTGTATTCCCAGAGAAAAAGGGGAAAGATATGGGATCCAATCCAGGAATTTCATCCCATTGGCATCAATGGAGAAAGTTCATTAAAACTTGCACCTAATTCAAGACCTGTGAATTGCAATGGGATTAATGCACAGCCAATCTCCCTTGGGTCTTAGTCATTGGGCACAATCCTGTGTTCACTTTAGTAGCTTAAATCCTACCAAAGTCAATGGGATTTAAGTGACTGAACCACCTTTGCATTTTTTCCTATGCTTGCAGATCTTCCTGCGTTAAAGCTGATATAATATCTACATCCCTTTTTCAGCAGAGAAGGAAACCATCTTTTCAAATCTCTTTCCCCACACCCCTAGAGTTCAAAAGATGGTTCCTCCTTATATTTCAGTAGTTGTTTAACCACCAAATTCATTTTCCAATTTAAAATTGGACTCAGATTCCCTACTGGAGTTCAACCCATTCTGAACAATAGTATCAAGCCCCATAGATGCCACTAGCAGTAATTTTTATCACTACTAGTGGTAATATAAGATTCTAGCTGTAGTCATGCCCATTCGGTCCCATTGTCAGAGGGAATCATAGAATCATACAGTTGGAAGGGGCCTAGCAGGCCACTGAGTCCAACTACCTGCTCAGTGCAGGACTCAAACAGCCCATCCAGATTTCTACCCAGCCCAACCCTGCTTAGCTTCCACGACTGGGGAGGGTCAGGCACCTCTTTCAATCAGCCATGGAGCAACAGCAATTCCCACTTCTGCAAGAATGGACGAAGGGGCCACAGACCTCCCAAGGCTTGAGGGAAGTATTTCAGGGGGAGTTTTTCTGGAGGGAAAATAGACTGGTGAGTTCTTGTCAGCACTCACTTACCCGAAGTATCCTGTTAAAGTCTTCCTTGTCTACTCTCAAGAAGTGGCAATTGTCTTCTCGTAGAACAATGGATGCTGCTCTGGGAGCGTCGTTCACTAATGCTAGCTTGCCAAAATCATCACCTTCATGTAGGGTACACACCACACCCTAAGAAGAAGAAGAACAGCAACAACCACCACCACCACCAGGAGAAAATGTATTTACATAGAGAAACCCTCATTTAAAGTTTGTTCCATTGACATCCATGTGCAAACATTGCTTTCCTAAGCCCAATATTAGAACAAATGCATCTGGCAGGAAATCAACAGCCAAAATAATACAGAGGAAACAATATACAGCAGCTGGTTATTACTAATACTATGGAAAGGCAAATGCAAAGAAAGAAATAATGGGCTTGTTCTCCGAAATTTGATTCAGTGACAGAGAGATTTCTGGCTCTACAAATGAAGCCAAGTTTCTATTTGTTTTTGTTCTTTTAAGTCAATATTTTTAAAATCAAGTTTGTTGAATAATAGGCCTTCCTCAGAGATTGCCAGTCTCAGAGATGTATTCTGGCTTATTATCAGACTGCCCTAACTCAAGTCCTGTTTATCAGAATGTGACTTTCAGAGGCAGAGGCGTTTAGCTTTTTCTTAACTCTTTCCCAATGCACATCCTAAAGCTGATTTCTTTTACTTCAAATTCCTCTACTGCATCTTCTGTAATCCGAGCAACTTACCATCTACAAGTAATAATACAGAATACAGCACGAACATAGAAGAGTACTACCATGTGCCCCTTGCAACTGATCTCCCTCTCCAAGGCTGGAGAGAGACATTCCCCTCAGATGGGAAAGGTCAGCCACAGATCCCACCCCCACCCTGCCACCATCATGGAAAATTCCATGGCCGCTTCCTCCCAAGGAAGCATTTCCTGATAAGACATCCTTGCTTTTCATGTTTCTTGTGCCTGTGTCCCACTGAAATCCACTGGACTAGTAAATGCAGATTGTATGACTAGGATCTCCTTGCACAGACATTTACAGGTGAGGGAAATTCCAGGCACTAGAGCGGAGGGGGCGCGATCCACGCTTTGTTCCCATGCCATAGCACATGCCTGGTCTGTATGGGAGTGTTGTTTGTTGCTTTCTGCTGCAAGTTGTCTCCAGCTTATAGCAACCAATGAATTTGAGTCCTCCAATATTTCCAGCCCTTGACTGCCCTGCTCAAGGCTGTGGCTTCCAGTATGGAATTGATCGAGCCCTCTCATATTTAGCTTTATGGAATCAACCCTTTCATTTCATATTTGGCTGTACGTGAGGGTTACCTATAAATCCATCTATTTGTGACTAATTCAAACCATAGGACCGATTTTCAGCAGGACATAAGAATGACTTTCTCTGTATTTCAGAGAAACAAATATTCTGGGTTGTACCCAGCTACCTATGGTCCAGCTATGTTCTGCTATGTTCACACAAAGTGTCCATTCTTGTAATCCAGGTAACCTAACTTTTACTGATCCACCCAGCCATGTGCCCACATCCCCAAAGGTAGCCTTCTCCAATCTGGTGCTCTCCAGATGTCTTGGACTGGAATTCCCAACACCTTGGGCTTCCCGACACGAGGCATTTATTGTGTACTTGTTTTGACCCTCCAGGTGAGCTTCTGTGTCTGAACAGCACTTTTGATGAGTTTGTTTTTTTTGTTTTTTTTAAGAGTAGCCAAAATTGGTATTTCAGGAAAGTAAGAGAAGCATGATTTTATCTTGCATGATCACACTGCTCTGCAACACCACAGTGCCACAGGAGTTATGTAGTGTAAAAGCAGAACAGGAAATGCTCTTTGTGTAGTGCCTGCATCTCAATTTTGTGAGGAGACCTAAAGTAGAAGCTGCAGATTAATAGCTGATTAATAGCCCCATGTGGAAAAGCTCTTACAGGCTGAGTTGTAGCCTGAGACATCTGGAGAAGGTGAAGGCTACCCCAAATGTTTTGGGTCCCCTAGAGAACCATATGGAATATGGCACAGAGGACTGTGGTATGTGCCACAGGTTGCTCAAGCAGAAACAGTTTCAGTAGCTCTAAATCTCCTCTAGACAGAACCTATCCTTCCATAGTTAAGCAGATACAATTCTGCCTCGAACACACTTGCATACACAGACATATGAAACTAAGGGAATATTCAGAAGTGTAAAAAAAAGTACCTTGCCATAGATGACTACATTTACTGATCCTTTTAGAATAATATACCAAGAAGTTCCTTCTTCACCCTGGTTAAATACTACCAACAGAGAAAAAAAGAAGACAAACTTCTAAAGGTCCGGTTTCTTAGGAAAATCAATGCTATGTGTTTTACTTTCTTCAGCCTTGTTTGTTTTATTTTTTAATTTGCAGAGATTCTCTGATATATTTTGATTAATTCTGGACCCAACCAATTAATCAAAAATCAAAACCATAACAATTTACTGTCCTTTCATGACCCTCCGATTCAAGAGCTTACTGGGTGACTTTGGGCCAGTCACAAAATCTCAGCCCAAACTCCATCCAGAGCTAAATCCTGTATGAGGCCGGATCCCACGTGGCAGACTGAAATGGTAGAGTTCCAATGGTGGCAGAATGGAATGTACCACTTTAGGCTACAAGTGGGAGAAGCACCTTTTTAATGCTCCCAGACATGGACAACCACATTGTATGGAGAAAATTGTACGTTGGAAGCCGTCCCGAGGATTATGCGAATGGGATGGCATACAAAAAAAATCCAAATAAATAAATAAATAAAATAACAGGGAGCAGGTTCAGCTACATCTTATCTCAAGGATGTGCTGGTTTCCCCACTCCCTTCCCATAAAGATGGGTGGGTGGGTTTGTTTTTGCCTGGGGAGCATGTGGAAGTGCATGCTCTATCTATGGTCTGGAGTGGACCATCCACTCGACTGTCTCTAGAATCTAGATGCTTTCTAGCTCTAGATGCTTTCCAGCTGCTTTCTGCTGCATCTGTAACCCTAAGACAGTTTATTAGCAGTAAGGCCCATTAAGGTCACTGGGACTATATTTCCAAATAAATAGGACATTAATAAGCATGGTTATGAATAGTCAGTTTTAATTATACATTCTCATTTCACCCTTTTCACCCCCTGCCCTGAAATGTTAAATATCACCTGTGAAGGACCACCAACTCCTATATCAGGTCCATCAATTTCCTCATAAGACAAATGGGCCAGCCTATTTCTGGGGTTTGGTTTCTGCACTTACGATCTGTATTCTGAATTGCAGAATTTTGAATTGGCTCAATATGATGCTGTCGTAAAATTCATTTTACTTACAGACGGTTCCTGCTTTGGGATGTGACTCAAACACCAGAACACCTGCTAGCTCCCGCTTTACCTTGAAGCAAAATGAAGAAACAGTGATGCATCTGATTTGTGTGGGTGCTTGCAATCTCATATAAGGGATGGGGGAGCAAGGGGGGGGGTCGCACCATCCAAACAGATTCCACTAGATTCCACTGACAACAGCATCCAAAAGCCTGGTGCTGTCGGAAGAGCACATTTATGGCTCAGTTTCTAGTGGAGTAAAACAGAGGAAAAGCTGTGCAGAAATAGATGAACCCTGAAGAACTCATTGAGGTTCAGCCAAACCTGCCAGTTAGGAAGAGTAGCTTAGGGCAATGCTACCATAACGTTTCCCAATCTTGGATGATAACTCTTAACGTTCATAACCAATGGCTGCGCTGCTTGGGGCTGATGAGATATGGTCAAAACCCCTGAAGGGCACCACTGATATATTTACATTGCAATTTAATAAATTTGCATGTATAACTATAAATTAGCATATGCACATTTTGTACAGATCCATATTCTATGGGGTGAAGCATCCCCCTCCTTTTGCACCCCTCTCCCAGGGCTAAGTACAAATCAGCCCAGTTTTATGATTTATTTGTAGCGAATGGCAATAACATAAAACACTCACTGTTGTTGAAAGATGAGATAAAGCCTTAATGTGCAGAAGTTCTTCATAGATAATTTCTAGGTCATCAACAGTTCTCTGGCCCGGCCTAAAGAAAGAAAACAACATGCTTTTAAGTATGTGTTTATATGAGATCAAGGATCTATTAACTATTTTTTTCTCTACACATTTATAAATACAATGGCTTCTGAATAGCTAGTTCTCAGAACAGTGCACAGCAGATTAAGAATGCATTAGATCCACAGCAAAAGTAAACAAACCTTTTTACTACCACTATTTTTTAGATTACTTCTTTCAAGGCCAAGCTTCCTGAATAAGAGGGAGAGAAATCTATGATTTTGGATCAGACTCATGACTGTTTCTGGAAAAGCAGCTGCGGAGGTGCTGCCATGTTTTTGCAGAGCACCACCAGCAGAGAATGGGGCATTTAAGCACCCCACTTTCTTTCTGTCTGTCTGTCTGTCTGTCTGTCTGTCTGTCTTTCCCAATCAAAACCATACACATTGAAGGTGTACTTTGTCCCCCAGGAAATGTGTGTGAGGTGTGGAAAAAAGAGAGAAAACCAATTTATATATTTAGACAATTTATCTACACCATTTTACAACTATTCAGTACATCAAATAATTATTCTACATCATTTAAACAACTTACATATTTACACGCATACAACCAATCAAGTAACATTTAGCGGATCAGTTTGAAGAGTATAATGGTACAATCCTAAGCCAATTTAGACAGAGAAAAAGGCCTGCAACTCCAGCATGCTCCATCCAGGTATGCATCTTGAATTAATTCCTTGATGGTTCAAATAATTTAAGTAAGTTTTAAATTACTTTTTAAACTACTAAAATGTTGTATATTTTTAGTTGCTAAAATTTCTTTAACTCCTGTCTGTCCTAGCAAGAAATAATTCAGCATATCACTGAGGAATCAAAACCAAGAGGGATACTCTCCTCATGTACTGCTAGGGAAGGCTCAAAAGTACTGAACGCAAGCAGAATGCCAAATGCTCTGCCCCAGCAAGGCAATTCCTAGGACCTTATTCTCAAGGATACAAGGAACCCCATATTAACAAAGGCACTGTTGGCAGAAAGAACACGTTCTGAGAGAGGGGTTAGAAAAAGTGGAATAAATTCAGAAGGGAGAAGGCTATCGGTGGCCTCTTGTGATGGCTACGTATTCTTTCCAGCATCAGAGGTGATATGCCTTTGAAAACCATTCCCTGGGAAACAGGAGTGGAGAAAGGCTCTTGCCTTCAGGTTCTGCTTGCAGATGGGCTATGGGGTGATGTACAGATGTAATAAAGAAAATAAATAATAGTCCCCCAGCTGGCCTCTGCAGGAGACAAGATATTGCTTCAAGGGAGCCTTGGCACGATGCAGCAGCTTCACCTTGTGTCCTCAGTTTGTTTAGCACTTTAGCCACCTGTTCTACAAAATGGCTGACGCTGCCTTGGGAGGATTCGAAATTCCGAACTTTTCACATTTCCCTAGTCAGGAAAGCCAAGCTAAATTGGGTGCTCCATGGCTCTGTGTGCAAAGCTCCCTTTTGTTCAGCTGACTGTTTAAATTATGGATAACGAAGAAAGGGAGTGGGGAGCAAAAGGGTTGGTGGCACTACCCAGCAATCTTTTCACTCAGCAGTGTGACACTATTTCATCTTCGCCAGAAAGAAGAGGGCTGGAATTTCTTATTTAAATACAAGTAGCCCCGAAAAGGTCATCTGAAATATAAAGTGTCTTTACCTTACATATCTGAGAACAAAGCTATTTTTTCCATTTGTTGCCGACACACTAAACTTTTCTAGATTTAACAGAAAGGCTAAACTCTTCTAGATCCAAACCCTCAAAGAAGTTTTTGGTCTATGGTTCACTGGTTTCTAATTGGAATATATTGAATGAAGAGCCATTTAAAAAAGTAATTTCTGATTTATACCACAGGGCAGAAAAGTTTACAAAAAGTCAAGATTTCTGGGTCAAAACTTAACATCTGAAAAGTCCATTCTACAGTCATGTCTACATAGGACAAGCCAAATTTTGCATGAGTGTTGATTGGATTGTGCTTTTCTTGTAGGCATAAGGAAAAGCAGAAGCTGCTTTAATACAGCCAGATCAACCTTAAAAGATTTTGCCTTGCTTCTGCTGAAGGACGAGGATAAAAGTGGTAAACTCAATCAGATCTAAGAAGATAGTTAAATCTTTAGGGCTTCAATCCTTTGGCAGTGGGGTAGGAAACTGATAGATCTCCATATATTACTGACTTCAGTTCTCATCACCTCCATCCAACATGGCAAATGTCAATGTAATGATGGGGTTTGTAGTCCAACATCCAGAATGCCACAGGCTTCCCTGCCCTGCTATATCTACTTTCCTGAGAATAAGCACCACCACATTCAGTGAAACTTATTTCTCAGTGGACACGTGTCAGATTGCCTTGTAAACCTCACTGAATTGCAGTGTAAAAGGCTATCAGTGGATCTATGCTAGCTCCTGTATCAGAGCTCATACGCATATGTACATCAGTTGTTGAGGAACATGGGCAAGAGGGTGCTATTGTAATCACGTCCTCCTTGAGGGTTTCCTTTGGGTAGCTGTGCAAACAAAAAGCTGGCTTAGATGGGTCACTGACGGGATCCAGCAAGGCTCCAAGATGCAACTTCAGCTATTTATTTCTCCCTGGACTGAGCTGTGGCGTGCCCTCCATAATTCTGTCTAACACTCTTTTGAAGCCACTATCACCACTCTGCTTGCAGGAAAGCTGAAAGCTCAGCCTCAAGCAGAGAAGGATCTGGAGAGTGAGAAGCACTTCCTCAAGTTCTCTTGGAAGGAAGCTGGGAAAAGCAGCCCTTTGTGAGGGGTGAAGAACTGCTGGCTGGCTGGGCGTCTTCCTCCTTCAGCCCGGGTGAATCTGGTAAGAGCTCATCATTTGCCAGACTGCAGAATCTACAAAGGAGCTCCCATCTCTCCAACCTCCCCTGCCTACAGGAAAGCACTTTCAGCATTTCAACCAGGTGGGGCAAAGCCATTCGCAGGTGAGCAGCATCTGGGCAGGTTCTCACACCTGTCCCTCGTGGGACTAGCATGACAACCATCAGTGGGCCCCTTGCCATGGGTTTCATGTCATGGTCGCCCAACACATTTCCCTGAAGCCAAACTGGTGAGACTAAAAGAAAAGGAGCTCACCAAAGTACAAGGCTCAAGTACAATGGGGCCTTCAAAAGGCAGAATCACTCTTTTGAACCTCAACACAGGTGCTGGAAGACATGCATTTCCGTTGGCAATAAGTTTGCATCCCAATTTGAAAGAAAGCCTTAAGAAATTCAATTTAAAAAGAGGTGCAGGAAGCTTGGCAGGTACCTATGGGCACTGTGACACCCACTCCTCTCTCTGCACGAACCTGCCCATCCCTGCATTCATCAGCTAAGGCCCTCTCCTGGTGTCTCCCCTGAGCAAGCAGGGGAGGGGGCCTTCTTAGTGGTGGTCCCCAATAATGGAATGATCTCCGAGATGAGGCCTGCCTGATACCATCACCATCCTTTTGGCACCACATTAAGACCTCTCAGTCATTTGGCAGCAAATGAGCTTTTAATTGTGTTTTGACTTCTTTTTAGTTGATTGTCCAACAATGTTTTTAGATATGTGTGTGTGTGTGTGTGTGTGTGTGTGTGAGCGTGTTTATATGGTTTTAAAAACTAATTTTTATATTTTAAGGTATTAATATTTTTAAGGTTCTCTGCCCACAGAACCTTAACTATGAGATGGTTTAGAAATGCTAGAAAAATGAAAGACTGGCATCCCCAGCTGTATCTGCATCATGCAAGTATCTGTATCTGTATCATATCTCATGCAAGCAAGCAACTTGGTCACACATGACAGAGGATGCACAGGGCGCTTACATGGGGTGTCGTTTGACCCTTGGCAAGTGCTGGGCATATTTCAGCTCTCAGAAATTGCTCTGCAACAGGTGCAATCCTAGGCATGCCTATATCTGGTGGAATTTCCTTCCAAGTAGATATGGCTAGGATTGGGCTATGAAATAGTTACTGTGCAGATCAAGGTTTAAATACACTCTTCTGCTTGAAAACTGGCACAGAACAAATGGGCAAAATTAGAAGAGATATACAGTAAATTTGCACCTTTGTCTTTTTTTGCACTGTATTTTTCGTATTTACAACAGGCTCTGACTAGCTTTTCCACTTGAAAGGGTATGTCTGGTCATAAAGCAACAGTTTCATTGCTTCATAGTCAATGGACAGGAGCCCCAAGTTACCCATTTTCATTTCTTCCACATTATTACCTTTTAAAAACTGCATCTTATTAGTACTTTCATAAATGTTTAATTTTATGGTCCTCTATATTCGTTGCTTATTATTTCACAGTATGTGCTGTGCTGTGCTGTGCTGTGCTGTGCTGTGCTGTGCTTTGCTTTGCATGTGGGGTTTGTTTTTCTTTTTAAGGTCTTTTTTTTTTTAAGTACCCATGCAAGTATAATCTCCAAAATTCCAACACAACGTCTGTCTTTTGAACAAATAGATGTCTCATTCTGATGAATGCGTTTGTACTTTTATTTCAGATTTCCGTGATGAGTGAAAATGTCACACAGCAGCAGTCACAACCAGTTTTGCAGATGCCCCAGGCTTTTGTTTGTCCAGGTATCACATGGTAAAATATTAGGCCTTGCAGCTTCCACAAAGCTGTGTGCTGCCCCACTGAAGTAGCTTTCTAGGATCCTGCTGTGAGAAGACCTACTTTCTGTAAGAGACTTGTTGGGCAAGCTATTCCTAGTTATACCCAGGATAATAAATGGGGAGGCAGATGGAAAACCAAGCTGCGCATTAGTGGAAGGGAGAGTTCTGTTGAAATTACATGATCAATACACACGGCTGGCTATTTGAGTAGTCCATCAAGGTCACAGGCACTGCATCTCTTATCGCTGCAGCACGTACAAGAGTCAAGAAAGCATCTCTATGGCAGGGGCCGCTGTGGGACTTGCAAGGCCTGCTTTCCTCCCCTGTAGACTTGGAGAAACTTCTGCTCATGAATTCCAGAGATGGAGGGCAAGATGGCAGCCAATTGAGAAAGCGCTACTGCAGGAAGATGTGTGCGTGTGTTTATACATCATCAGCAATACGCCAGGCACTGTACGGAAAACAGCAGTGGCTGGTTACTTTTCCAAAGCTCTTGCAACTTCAACCAGGGAATTTGTGCCCCTCCGGAGGTTGCTATGAATACAACCCCATCATCTCTCACCACTGTCTATGTTGGACAGGACTCATAAGAGGTGCAGCCCAACATCATCTGGAAGGCTGCATATTCCCCACCCCTGATCTAAAGGACAGGCCAGAGGTTAAGAGATGGGAAAAGGCAGCATAAAAATGGCATCAGCCAAATCTCTACCTGTTCACCTTCAACAGGTAGAGTACAAGTTGGGTGGCCCCGACGTGCTCCAGGTTCTGGCGTAGCCACTGAAGGCCCTCCACAGACTCTTCGGATGCGTCCAGGGTCACAGCTACCTGCTCTGCCTGCCAAGAGCAACCTAAAGCCCCATACTTGGTGGAGACAGTGCCTTTCGCAGTCTCAGGAAGATGAGCCGGAGTTGGAAAGGTGCATTCCAAGCAAGCTGGATGGAGTCAGGAAGGTGGGTGGGTCGGGTGTTTCCTCTCTGCCTCTTCCCCAGCAACGCCAAGTGACAACAGAGGGAGGAGAGGCCCAGCCAAGACTTTCCTCTGCCCCCATCATCTCACGCATCTCCATGAAGAACTTCCACACCCTTGTTTCCACGTCAATCTTCTAGGGGGCATCTTCTGACTCCACACATGTCACTGCAGAACAAAGCAAGCAACAGGCCTGCCTACGGACAGTGTGACTCGTTCCTGCGCCCAGCAGTTGTCGGCGGGATTTGCACACATTGCAGCTGTCTCTCTGTCCACTGTCACCCTCCCTAGTCACAGCCAAAGCGCACATTCTGGTTGGGAACCCAGATGCTTTTCATGCCACCTAGCCATGTTCCCTGCATAGGTTTGCATCACAGCCAAGGGTGGAAGGCAAGAACTGAAGGACCTGGATCCTGAAAGCACAGACCCACACAGCACCCCAAAAGAAAATGCTGCTGCGCCTGGACTGAGCTGTTTCACACACACACGTCTGAGGAAAGCCCCTCAGAGTCTACTGACCACGCAACTGGCTGCATCAGCAGTGCTGCACAGACGTATGGGAATGCAGCTTTTGCTGCTGAACCACTTATCACTATTATTTATATCTCAGGCTTCTTTTTGGTTAGAAAACTGCTCAGTCACTGGCTGTAGAATGAAATATTGGACTAGAGAAGGAGGAGGAAGATAAATGCATCTCTAATTACCTGATTACCTGGGAATAGGCCCCATTCAACTCAATGGCACTTACTTTCTGTGTGTGTGTGTGTTTCGCAGTTATCAGCCTTCTGTGGAAGCTTCTGAGACACAATGACCTGGGGACACAAATACTAAAGAGCTGGTCCCCGAGGAGGCCCTTTCTGCCTTGCTGTGCAGAGGGAGGGAGGGAAGAAGCCACTCTACGACTACTTGGCACCCATATCTTCATCATACAATTGTCTCCATTACAACTGATGCTTTCAAAGTTAAATACTGCACTTAATTCATAGTGATTAAATGTATGAATTTATGTTTAAATGAGAGCAAGCCAGCATGTCATGCTAACTGCTACATCAGCTAAAATACAGATTAAAAAATAAAAATTCAATTTAAGTTGTCATTTCTGAATTGCAATATACTGAAAAAAGAAGTCACAGCGTTCAAATATTTCTCCAAGAGCATACTACAAACGTGTATTTCTTTCTTGCATGCATCATTAGAAGCAGGCAGCTTTGTTTGCTGCATTGAAAAAGGAAGCTAATTTTACATTTATAGCAATGTATGGCTTTTAACAAAAAGGAAAAGGGAAAAAGAATAACCTTACCAATAGCAACAAGAGTCTGCCAATTTCCCCCCAACTGCTTCAGGACAGCTTTATTCTGTTGTTTTTTTTTTAACACTACAGACATTCATCATTTGACAGTTAAAATGTTGCAGTTAATATAATAAATAGAGAATTTAAAAAGTTGCCTGTCAAAACAAGTGACACATTTTGCAAGTGAGTTTCAGATTTGAAACAATAGAAAGCACCTTTTAAAGCAACAGCATCATTATACAATCAAATGCTCCAAGTAATCTTTTCAGCATTTAAAAAAATACATTGCTTCTTCCTTGGTAATTATGTGAGTTTTGCATCCTCTTGAACAGTTGCAAGTCAAAGACAGCAGCTGTAGTGATTTGCAAATTGGGAATATTTTTCAAGTCAACACAAAACCAATATGCTACACCTCTTGTAAACTTTAATAATATGGCTCCAGTATCTAGTCAAAACTAGGCCTAGTTCTCATCAGTGTGATAGCAAATTTGTGACTGGACTGTTATTCTACAAGCTACCTGTCAGGGCAAACAGGAATCTTCCTCATGTGGAGTGTGAGTAGTCAAGGAGGAAGTTGGGGTAGGAGCTGGACATCCTGCAGGCGACTGGTTGACCACGGTGTGAGAAGAATGCTGGACTACACTGGCCTTTGGGATGATCCAGCACAGTTCTTCCTATCTCCTTAATACCCCTCTCCCATTTTGTTCCTCAGCTACTGGTACTCGTAAACCTGGATGTTGCATATCATCCAGAAATTGAATACTACCACTAGATAGCTCTCCTCTGCCCACCCCACCCATTCCATAAATCTGACTAATTCCTCTTTCAGAGCTATCTAAGATTGTGGCCCTCACTGTATCTTTTGGTGGTGAACACCAGAGATTGACTGGCTGTGTTCACCCAAACTGACGAACAACCCTCATGGTTACCATGTTCTGCATTTTTTTTACCATAAAACTAGAGCCATCATGACAGCAGTCCCTGATAGCTTTGTCCTGTGTGAATTAGTCTGATCTCTTTTTCAAGTCCTGTGATTGGGAAGGCCTTGCCCATCCTGAAGCCAGTGCAAGTTCCAGATCTGAGGCTCTGCAGAACATCATAAGGTATACTTGCATGCCACAGACAGACTGTAACAGAGGCTTGCAAGTTAAAATATGGTGTTCATAAAACACATCTGATGGTACTCTGTGCATTTCATGTGCATTCCGGTGCTTCTATAAAGCCCAAAACTGCCTTGCAAAATCCAGAGATATGGAAAAGCAGAAGGATAACTACACCTTAGTTGGTGATGTCAAGATTGGCCAACCTGGGCACAGTCCTATGGTCTCCCAACATGTTCTGGGAAGCCACTAGGTTCTTTGGGGTGCCAGCTCAGATCCTACAGTCTCAGAGCTGGGATTCCAAAGGCTGAGTTCCCTGCTCTGCACAGACAGCACTGCACAAGTGGCCCCCCACCCCAAGGCCACGACTGGGCCTCGGAGGGGAAAATGGCATGCCTAAGGGGTGGGGCAGGAAGAGCTGGCCCACAGGGTTGCACCAGTCCCATTTGGTCCCCTAGGCTCCTTCCCCCCTGGTGCTACATCTGGACGGCCAAGAACCACCACCCAAACAAAGTGCAGTGGGCAAGGTGCAGTGACTGGGGAGACTGCCGCTGCTGAGCTTTACTCTGCACACCCAGAAGCATCTTCATAGCCTATGCATCTGGGAGGACTGTCTCCTTCACTCCTAAACTCTTGGGATAGCCTCGATCTGATGAGTTAGCTAGGTAGCTGTATATGGACGGTTCCCAGGCAGCAGTCTGTTCCTAGGTACCACCATATGTTGGTATCACACTGCCCCGAGACATGAAGAGAGCTAAGCAGAGGAAGGACTGGGGCTGTGAAAGCAGCTAGATTGGTTAGTGGTGAGAGTGCCTGAACTTGATCCCGGAACTCAGGATCTGGGATCCAGTCCCCACTTGGCCAGGAGGACTGCTCCTTTGGGCCAGTCTCTGATTCTCAGCCAAATCTACAGGGTTGGGTTGACCCTGCTCACAGGGTTGCTGTAAGGATAAAATGGAGAGGAGGAAGGTTATGTATGCCGTCTTGGGTTCCTTGCAAGGAAAAGGTGGGAAAGACATATAATAAATACATCTGCTGTTGGATCATTTGTATCCAGGGCACTGAGGGAACAATGAAAGCAATGGGAAAGGGGCAAGGAGAACACCAAAGCCAAGGATATCCTCACAATTGTTTCCCTCGGAAATTGTGGGCAGAAGCAAACAGAGCCTCTTCCTCCAACAGTGAGGGCCTGACCACATGTTATGGTCACTTGTTCTTTTTGTTCCCCTCACATTTAAAATCATATTTTTAAAAGGGCTGCCATATGACGCAAAAGAAATGTGGGTGGGGGGTGACCACCTTCAGCTTTTCCATTTTTATCTTTCATCTACTAAAATCATCCTGCATAATGCAGCCACAGATGTTTTGAAACCTTTCAGCAGAACACAATCTGTATGTACCCTCCTGGCAACCGAGTTTGTGGTCTGGCTGAAACCTTAGAAGATCCCAAGCCTTCCTCCAGAGACTCAAAAACAGTAATCTATGCATCATCTTTCTTACGGCTTTCTAAGAATCATCCTCATGTGGGCATCTGGTCCAATCTGAGAGAGCAGAAGCATGGTGTCCTGCAGTTCTTCATCACACTCTTTCTTCTCTTCCTCAGTCAGCATTGGCACATCTTCATGCTCATCATCCAAAAATCGGTAAAACAAGTATTTGTCCTGGAAGTGCTGCTCTTGATCCACTGGAAGGACCAATATGAATTTAGGAATTAATGTAGGAAAGTGTCAGCGCTTCAACAAGATAAAATGACTTAGAGCCACAGTTCTCACTAGACAAGATGTTACTCTGTATGCAGGACCAGCCAGCTGCCAGGGCACTGCTGGACTTCTCAGAAGTCTCTCCCTGCAATGCCTTGCCTCCGCCACGGGCCAAACGGCACTGCCAGCGATGCATCGGCAGAAGGCACCTCTGCAGTTCATGTGGAGCATTAATGCTGGAATAGCCCAGAGCACAAGCCAATTGACTATTTCGTATTATTTAAAGCTTTTATATACCATCCTTCACTAAAAGTCCCAGGAAATTGATATAATTCCTTGCTTTCTGATTTCATGACACCTCTACTACATGGACTTCAAAGTACATCTCTTCTGTAAGGATTTTAGCTGTTCAGCTTAATCACACAGTTATGTACAGTGATACCTCAGCTCACGAACCCAAATCAGGTCGCAAACAGAAATTTCTGAAAAATTTTGCCTCGGGTCGCGAACTCCGCATCGGGTGACGATTGCGATCACACCCGTCTCGCCCACACCCAAGCGTACTTGCTTCACATTTTTGTGATTGAAAAAAAAAAGTTACAGAATGGATTAACCTTATTTACATTGAACCTCATGGGGAAATCTGACTTGGTTCACAACCAATTTGTGTGGCGACCAGAGCCCTGGAACGGCTTAAGTTCATGAGCCAAGGTGCCACTGTATAGGTTGCTTGGGTTGATCGCTTTTATGCTGTATCATCCTGATACCTTTTGTTAACCTTTTATTTTACGTTTTGTAAAAGCTGGATTTGCACCATCACCCTTCCCCCGTCTTCTTCCATTTCTCTTTGCTTGCCTTGCACCTCATCTGAAAACCAGAGGGAGTGCTGCCCTTTAACAGCGTGGCTCACGTGCAGCAGGAGATGTCTTTGGAAGCTGCAGTTATACCTCTTTTGTCTACATTGAAGGCACAGAGCCTCAAGGCAAGGACAGATCTTAGGGAGGGATGAGCCTCTTTCTACTGTGTATCTCTTTCTCATATTCATCCCATACCACTTCCTATGGATTTGTTTTTTAAAAATCAGAGCACAGAAATGTGCATTCAAATTGTATGCAGTTCCTTGAAGTTTCTCTCCCAACTTTTTCACTGTTCGAACGAATTTCTCCCTCAAAATACACTGTGGGGGCCAAAAAGCACATTGTAAAACTTGGAGCAATGTACAGTATGAAGGATAACCATATTCCGATCCAACTGATTAAGTCAGTTTGCACCTGGACAGCTTCTCTGATGCATTTTTCTGTCCCCTCTGCATCCAGCCACCACAAGAACTAGCATGGCACAGGAGCAAGGAGTCAAATGTGAATGCCAGGCCGAAAAGCATGAAGTGGAGGCGTCCTTTTACCATTTTGCTTTGAAAGCACGATGCTTTTTCTTTTGAAGGGTGTTAACAAGAAACATGCATTTCGTGCCTGTGCTATGCAATTCATTTACTGAGCTCCCCCCACCATCACCAACCCATCTCCCGTTCCCTAATTTATTTTCTATGAAGGACCCACATAGTTAAAATACCAAATCTCAGCAGACATAATCTATACTGGGGATGCACAGATCAATCTACTTTGGGTCCATGTCAGTTTGACATGTGATCATTTCCAAATTCCAAATTGGTGGCTTCCTGTTTTTGTTCCATCTTGTTTCTCTCTTAATCTCTACATGCTTCTTTCTTTCTTTTTTTTCCTTTTTCTTTTTGGAATGGGGGAGGAAATCAGCTTGAAAATTTATATGCATTTTAAAACATGGTACAAATGCATATTCTATGCATTTCAATGTGTTTATAAATCCAAGCAGTGCATTTCAAAATTTGAAGATGTGCAAAACCAGAAGAATAACGGTATTCAGAACCATGTATTTGTTTGTGATATCCAAATTAGACTGATTTGTTTCCAGACTCCTGGGGCATCCCTAATCTACCAGTGCAAATAGATAGAACCATAGAGATAGTTCCTAGGTACCACCCAGTTCCTAGGTACCCTTGTTCTTTGGCACCAGAGCATTGTAAAACTGGAAGAGGGCTAGCAGATTAAAGGGCAGGGCTATGAAAGCAGATACTGACATAAAGCACAAGGTCAAATATGGAGAAATGATTACTGTTTATTTGTAACTGAGAAAATATTGAGGTGGTAACTCTGTGCATAAATAAGGCGTGTGGATCGGGGCAAAACTGTGCCACTTGCTCCAGAAACTGTGGTTACCCCAGTTCATCCCTTTCTTTAAAGTCCTATGGCATGAACAATGGTACACTTGGAGGTAGCATTAGGGGTGGATGCTAAGCACAATTTCCTTTCCCTGATGATATGGGGTAACCTGCCCTCCATCAAGGTGGATTTCACTCATTGGGACAGGTTTCCGGGTGCAGAGACACCTGCATTCCTGAGGTATCCCCAGAAACATACCAGTTCTCATTTAACTTATTCAATACTTGTCATGGTATAAACATGTGGTTTGTATGAATGCAGGGAGAATTCTGAAGTTCCAGCACTCATTGTGACATTCGCTCTAGAACCACCCACAAGAGAAGTTGCAAAACGTAGGTGGTTGTTTCGATCCACATCCCCAAGCCAGTTCATCTCCAACAGGGGCAGGTCTTTTGTAAAGCTAAGTGGTCGCAATTGCCAATTTGAGATCACTCCAAAATACATCGCACCACAACAGGGATATCTTGCAACAATATGCAGGTGGAATCTGGGAGATCCAGTTCTGTCCCCACTTGGCTATAAAATTCACTTTGGGCCAGTCAGTCATGCTCCGTTCAACCCACCTCACAGGGTTGTTGTTCTGTGAATACAGCGGAGTGGAGGATTGTTTTTCTCCTTGCAAGATAAAAACGATGGGATATGAATTCAGTGTCAAAATCAGCAGCAGCTGCAAGGGCTTCCTCTTACCGTGGTTGAGAACACCTTCCTCCAGCAACACCTGCCACATGCCCACAGCCTGCGTCCGCACATGAACACACGAACCTTGCTGCATCATCCAGTCTACTAGTTCTGTCCCTACACAGCACTGCCTGCAGAAGGGGAGAAAGACACTACTTCTAATTTCGCCACAGTGACTCTCAGTGCATGGCATTTTCTATGGCACTTGATGTAACCATAAACAGAGCCAGGTCAAGAAAGGGAAGCTGCTTGAAGCGCCTATCAGGGATAATGGCAGCAAGAAACTTTGCCTCAGCTAGACAAGTCAGACCTCATCGTAGAAGGCATGACACCGAGTTATTCAATGCAGTCTCTCAAAAGACTGTCAGAAACAGCCAATTTTGAGAACATAATGTAAAAGCCAGCCAGGCATACGGGAAAGTAACTCCAAGAGTGAGTCAGTCTGACACAAGTCTCTACCTAGAATAAATCCGGATGGCATTCAGCGTGCACCAATATGCTCCTGGCTGCAGAGAGGATTCCCCTGCACACAGGACTGCTTTGTGTTTGTGAGAGGGATCAGCGTTCTGATGCAGAAGCAGCAACAGCCAGCACACTCCGGGGAGTTCCACTGCCCTGTCGGACTTTTGAAACAGGATGGGAAGCAGAAGCGTAACATCGCACTTACAAAACGAAAGCCTTCCTGGAGTGCATATCTACACAGGGGGGTCTTTCCCAACTGGTTCCCATCCAGAGGAACTGGACTATGGCTACCATCATCCTCAAGCAGACCTAACCACTGGCCATGTCAACTGAGGATCATGTCACTTGCAGTCCAACATTTATGTGCTGGTGGGGGGTGCTATGTTTGGAATGGCTGATAAGAGTCATTTGGAACTGAATGACTAACTCAGGGATGCATCAAAATGGTAAGAAATCTGATGCACATTCAGTCCAAGATAAACCCCCACCTATGAAAATACAGTATGTTCATATTTTTCCCAGAAAGCATGATGGCACACATATTTTAAAATTTATTTATTGATCAATGCTGAAATTAATACTGACTTGTTTACAGCTGAAGGGGAGGGTATTTTATAAAAGTGTATCACTCTAGTAAAAATATCAGGTAATGTTAGTTCCCAGAATGCCCATAAATAAACACAAACAAGCTAGAAGGGCTGTTGCTTCTGTTGATTTCAACTGCTTGCCAGCTATAAAGAGATGCTAAATACAGAATTCCACATATATGGACTCCAGGTTGCCACTGGCAACCATGCATAACTTCTCAGCCAGTGCGCATCCAGCCCTGGAACAAGAAGAAAGATCCTTCATTCTCCCATCTCACAAATTCCCCATGTACGAAGAAGGAGGGCACTGTCACTTAATGCCAGGTTGGAGAAATAGATTCCACTCTCCTTTGCCACACTAATCCTCTCATTTTGCAAACATCTGGAAGCAGAGAGAAACCTTCTCATATAACTGCCTCTGGGCTTGCCATCCAGAGTGGATCATTTGCTAATTTTGTGTCATACTTTACAGGTCCTTCCTCTGTATCTCTTTCCACAGTTCCAGCAGATTCACAAGAAAAAACAGTCTGGCCTTCTGGGTCTGCAAGACCAGCACAATGTCTCCTTGCACCCCTTGGTCCTCTGGTAGCTGATGAGGGTCATTAACTCTCCTAAAGTGTCTTCAAGGAATGGCACAAGGTCAATAGCTCATATATATACTGTTGTAAAGCCTCCCGAAAACTGGAAGAGGACTCATTGTGGTTTCCAAGTATCATGAATGGCTGATCTCTCTCCTTGCTCAGGTTATCTTCATGTGCCTCAGGAGGAGGATGTCATTCATATGTGAGTACAGGTAATCGCTAGCATCTACCAACACCAACCAAAATCTGTGGCGCCTTCATTCAGCAAGGGTCTGATACTGCACGACTTCATTCCAATAGTTAAAGCTAAAGCTTTCTGCAGGTTTATATTCTGCCACAAAGAAAGAAACTAACAAAATTGCACCTCATGTAATCTCTATGTTGTTTCCTTTTTGGTAGAAACAGCACTATGAACTAGCATAGCAGAACAGCACTGGGATCCTTTGCTCAGCGGATATGGGAGAACTAAGCAAAGCAGTGGCTTTGAAAGGAACTTGCCTGTATTTATGAGGGAAACTTCATAGGGTTTCAATCTATGTTGTCCACATAGTTTCACAGTATGGATTGTTTTTGTTATGTGCCACCAAGTCATCTCTAAGTTATGGTGACCTGAATGAAATGAATGAAAGCCCTCCAAAATGTCCAGGCCTTGACAGCTCTGCTCAGCTTTGGTGAATTCAAGGCTGTGACTTCCTCTAGGGAACTGATCCATTTCCATCTCATAGTTGGTCTTTCTCTTCCTCTTTTGCCTCTCCTCAGTATGATTGCCTTTTTCAGAGAGTCCAGCCTTCTCACGATGTACCAGAAGTTTCAGTTTCATCATTTTTTGCTTCCGAGGATTTGATCTAGGATCCACTTGTTCACCTGTCTGCCACAAAGCTCTCCTCCTGCACCATGTTTTGAATGCATCAGTTTTCTTCCTTTATCTTCACTGTCAGGCTTCACACCTATACATAGTGATTGGGAACATAATAGTATAGACTGTTTTGCCTTGGTCTCCAGTGAAATATGCTACACTTGCTGATCTTGTCTAGTTCCTTCATCATTGCCCTTGCCAGCCTCGCTTTCCTCAAATTTCTTGGTTACAGTTTCCATTTGAATTGAGGACTGAGCCAAGATATGTAAAATATTTCACAGATTCAATTTCTTTACTGTTGACCTTAAAGCTCCGTAATTCTTCTTATGTAGTTATGATTTTTGTTTCTTAATGTTCAGCCCCAGTCCTGGTTTTGCACATTTTTCCACTTTTATCAGCAATCCCTTCAATTTCTGCCAGTAATACAGTATCATCTGTTATCTTAAAATATTGCTGTATCTTCCACTAACTTTCACTCCTTCTTCCTCTGATCTTAATCCAGCTTTCATTCTGCTATGTTTTGAATACAGCCTGTACAGATAGGAAGATAAAATACACCCTTGCCTGATGCCTTTGTCTATAGGAAACCATTCTGTTTCTCCAGATTGCATGCTAACAAGAGCTTCTTGTCCAAAATACAGGTTATGCATCGGGACAAACAAATCCTGAGGCACACCCAATTCTTTCAGAATCATCCATAGCTCCTCATGAGCCAACCATTCAAAAGCTTTGTTATAGGCTATAAGGCATAGATCGATCTGAAATTCTTTGGTGCACTTCAGTAGCCAACATACACTTTTGATATGGACTTGAGAGCTTCTTCCTTTTTTGGAATCTAGCCTGTGCATCAGGGATTTCTTGCTCCACATAGGCTAAAATTCTTTGTTGCACCCTCCTGAACATCACTTTGCTTGCACGGGAAATTAGTGCAATGGTCCTGTAGCTGCTGCACTCCTTATCAGCTCCTTCCCTGGACATTGGAATGTATACTGTTACGTTTCCAGTCTGTGGGATACTATTTATTTTCCATATGTGTTAGCATATTCTTATTAAGATTTGGACCGATCCAACCTCTGTAGCTTGGGACAGTTCTATCGGAACCTGAGATACTCCAGGTGCTTTATTTCTTCCAAGTGTATTCTGAACCATTTTCACTTCACCTTCTGATATTGTAGGTTCTTCCTCACAGGACTATACTTCAAAGTATAGTCCTGTGAGGATTTCACCTCTTCTGTGTAATTCTCCTGTATATTGTTTCCATCTTCTCTTTATTTTCTTTTGGTCCAATGGTATGTTCCTCTGTTTGTCTTTTAGCATTCCTAATCTAGGTTTGAACTGCCCTTGGATTTCTTGGATCTTCTGGAAGAAGTCCCTTGTTTTCCCCCCTCATTTGTTGTTCTCTACTATTTCTTTGCATTAGTCATTGTAATAGTTCTTTTTGTCTCTACATGATAGTCACTGAAAGTTGAGTTCAGGGTTCTGTTCTTATTTCTGTTACCTCATCCATGTAGTTTCCTTTTCTTTTTTTTCAAGAATTGCCGTTTTGCATTCTTCCCTAAAAATGCCTCTGCTTTTCAGTCCACATTTTTTCTGGGTTCATGGTAAATTGAGTTTGGTGGTGCAAATCTTTTCTTTATGCGGACTTTAAACTCCTAAAATTGCTATTTAAGTTGCATTATGAGACTATGCTACTGTTAGTGATCTTTTTTTTAGCTGTACTCTGATTTTTGATAATAAAAGTTCATGGTCACTACCACAATCTGCTCCTGGACTTGTTTTGGCTGTGTTAATACAGATTCTTCAGGAATAGGGCAACATTTAGATCTATCTGTTATGCTTATGTTTAACTGCAGCAATCTCACAAACACACTCTGTCCTTGTTACTCCTTTCTGACCCAAACAGCCAGCTGTAATTACTTTCCTCATTTAAGCACTTGTAACAATGGTCTCTGACAGCACAATCTTATTGGGACTCACTCTCAGGGAACCGAGCATAGGAAAGTAGCCTGGATGTTAGCTGAACTTAGTTCCTACTAAAATTAGCAGGGCAACCTTAGTTCCCAGTGAGAATCAGTTCCTTGCAAGGCTGCAGCTCATGGCTATTATGGGAGAAAGAAAAAAACATAGGTAAGTTTCCTAGCTTTAGTTTCTTATCCTGCCCAAATCACACAGATAACTCATTTTAACAAGGCAGTGCTGCCACCAGCAGGTTGGATAACACAATGAACAATAATACGCAGAAATCTGTACCTACTAACAGAATAAAATACAGTAACACTGACCCTGAGTGCATTCCTATCTGTGTCTACTCAGAAGCCAGTCCCACTGAGTTCAATGAGAATTACTCCTAGGTATGAGTATACCCTCATTCATACACATACACACATTCATCTGGAACCTTGCATATACCGACACTCTGAGCATATGCAACCATTCAAACATCCATTTTCCTCAGTGAGCAATCAGGGCTGTTGGGGTGGAGGGCCAGATTAAAGCTTCCCTCCTACTTGGCCAGGTCGTTTCTGTTAGCGGCACTGGAACAACATTAGAAGAGCAGTGCAGCAGAATCTGCCAGTGATTTCTATTAGTAGCACTGGAGCAGCAAACTGTTTTCCACCATTCAGCTCATGGCTGATCAACTAGGCAGCAGGGGAATGTGAGTGGAGTTTCCAGTCTTCATGAAGAGCAGGCAAGGACCATGAGTTGCCCATGAGGTCTGAGGCTAAAATCCATGACAATTTAAACAGGACACAGAGTGTGGAAGGTAAACTTACCTGTCTGGCATTCCATGTGGCCTATTTCTTGTTCGAATCAAAATGCTTGGCCTGCACATGCAGCATTAGCTCCTTAATGAGGCTAGAATTAAGCATACCAAGAGCCACAAATTTCTGCTGGCTTAGGGTGTGTTCCAATTACCCCAAGCAAATTCTGGTATCTTGAAACCTCAGAAGATAGCAAACTATAAATAAAAGTCACAAGATGATGTTCACAAAATGAAGGGGATGTATTTGTTTCCTTATCCAATCAGCTTGCAAGTACCTGTATGTTTTCAGATGATATTTGCGGTCTCTTATCATATGAGGTGCTCTGGAGAGAATTGCATTCCGTAGTACCTTTCCAGCACGGAGGATTTTTTCTGATGGAACCTTAAGAAGGATGAAGAAGGAGGAAAGAAGGTAGTAAAGGTATTTTATGCTTTCATGATCCCTTGAAAGACAAAATAGCACCCACTAGTATGCAGTAATGATACTAGCATTACTTCACTAATATTTGAAGACTTATTAAACTAGGTTTTGACAGTGTAATGGGTATTATAAACATCGCCCTACATTGGTAGCTATGTTTCTCCTAGGAACTTGTGGCTATTGTACCAGATGAGAGTCCTATGGGTACTCATAGGAAGATGTTGGTCTCCTGAACTTCCCAGTTTCTGTCGAGAGAGGGATTTGATTTTTGAATGTGCGTGGAGATGGAAATGGATGGAGCTGCTCAGTATGACAGCTCCCTGCATGTCTTTCAAAGGTTCTATACCTTTAAGAGGTTGCTGCATTAGAATTGATGCCTCCACAGTGTATTCTCTCCCTTCCATCCACTAGGCCGTTGGTATATAGCAAGTGTCCATAAAACTGATCCCTTCCAGATGTGTTTACTGCATATCCCATCCTCAGCAGTGCTTGCTGGGGATGGTGGTAGCTGCAGCCCAACAATATCTGGAAGACCACACTTTCACATCTGTTAACTATACCTTACTGTTATGCCAGCTTGCAAAACAAGCTTTTACTTTTTAATGCTGCTTTCCATTATTGAGACTATATGATCAATATATGGTGTTCCCTAATCATACAAACAGCAAAAAAACAAAACAAAACAAAACAAAACAAAACAAAACAAAACAAAACAAAAAAACCAGAGTGCAAGGGCAATAAACCTCATACTCTGAACCAGGAAGAATGCATAAAGAAAGAAAATGCTGAATCCACACAAGGGGCTTCTGGGTAGGTTTGCACATCATGCTAACCCACTGTGTGATTAATTCATGGCAGGTTGTCTGTTTGCTGTGCAACCTGCAGGGTCCCTCATCAAACTCAATGTGGTTTGCTGCCCTGCCAGCTCATTGCTCTTGTGTCCGCCAAAGGTCCCTCATGGCAGAACATCTTCCCTCCCCAGCTCTGCTCCTGTCACTACGCCTCTTCATCATGAATGGTTTTGGGGGGGAAAGAGTCTCAAAAGAGGTTTTTTGGAGGACTTCATTCTGACACCTGAGCATTGTGTATTTTATTATTATTTCTGTTAGTCTTTCAGAGATATAGAAGTGTGCAATCACAACTATCCAATCTGCGTAGTCTGGCCTTGTCCATTCTTACTGGCCACAGGGAGGACAAGACAAGAAGACATTTCAGCTAATTTGCACACAGGTGCCGGCTGTTATTTGCCTTCCTGTCAACTGAAAAGGACCAGAAAAGGTGAGGAGAGTTAAGTACATAAAAGGGGTGATGGCAGTGTGACCCACTTAGCAAAGTAATTGTTCCCATTTTAATTGTTGAACTGACACAATAATAATGTTTTAATCATAAGGTAGAGGAGTAATTTAAACTAGGGTAGTCTGTTCATTGGCTAATCCCATCATGAATTATTGCACATCTAACTCCTATTACCTCTGTAATGGTTTTAGCTGGATGAAGTGGGATATGATGATCAATACAAACAGCCTGAAAAATAAAATATAAGTGAAGTAAACAAATGAAAGAAACAAAAACATTTTTTTTAAAAAATAAACTTTCTAAAATGAAATGTGTTGGGAGTCCAAAATGATAAAAATCAACATCTGCATGTGGTAAAGCAATTCTCCATGGTATTGTGGCTATCATGCAATGCAATTAAAGACAACTAGGTTCTATACAAGAGTGCTATGTATAAGCCATTTCTGAGTTAAAACATGGCAAGGAACTGCTGAGACACCTGTGTCGAAACCAAGGAAAGGACAAATCACCGTATCACTGACCTGGGTAGCTTTCCCCCAGTCAGTTTTGCACATGTAGCAAAACTGTACCAGAAAGATGTCCAATGAGATGTCCTCACTGCATGCTCCACACTACGTCAATTATACTTATTTGGTAAATAATGGAAATTTAATAATTTCAATTATTCAAACAAAAGTCTCTATTCCTGGTAGCTGAAGGCACAAGTCATTCTCATTTTCCAAGCCATATGGAACCACCTGTGTACCACAGGTATTAGCCAGTCATCATTAACCAACATTCAGGTTGCTTTCTAGCACACACTAAACACATTACTCTGGATATGAAACCTATAAACCACATACACGAGTACCTGCTTGAAAAGAGACTGACTAGGGCAGCCTTCTCCGACCTGGTGTCCACTAGATGTTTTGGACATCAGCTTAGAGAGCCCGTGTGGTGTAATGGCTTAGAGCATGGAACTGAGGAGCTCCAGGTTCTAGTCCCCTCTCAGCCATGGAGCTCACTGGGTGACTTTGGGTGGTAAGTCACCGACTTTGAGCCCAACCTACCTCACAGGGTTGTTATTGTACAGATAAGACTGAAAGAAGGAGGAGACCTATGTAAGCTGCCTCAAGTTCCTTGGAAGGAAGAAATCTGGAGTGGATGACTCTGAATTCTCTTTGGGTTTTGGCTTTCTTTCCTGAATTCACCTGCAGAGACTCTGTGCAACCTTTTCATTTGTGTGTGTAGTCTAACACAGGCAATAAGAATTGTACTGCTGTTAAGTTCATGTCACCATTTGTTTCTGTTCAGTAGGGTCTGGTTATATATTTCAATATTTTTTCTGCATTTTCTGAAGCAACTTATGTTTTTGGAGCCACACAGGATAAAAGATTTGGGTGAACTTGTGACATACAGCAAGCAGTTGGCAGGATTACACACACACACACACACACACACACACACACACACACAATGAATAATGGTTAATAAACTCCCATTAGCTCCAGACAGAATGGCCAGGAATGCCAGGAATTGTAGCCCAACTGAAGGGCAACAGGCTGGGGAAGTCTGGCATAATGGATTCAGGCCAGAGTTTCACACATTACTGATTCTACATTTTATTGCGATTTCAACTGTTTTAGCTGCAGATTTCACTTCAAAATTGCATGAACATCATTAACTGCTTTGGGTGTTTTTGAAAAGCAGCATACAAATTCTGGCATAATTAGATGCAGCAGAGAGTCAGGGGGTTGTGAGAGCTGCGGCCTTTTAGATGTTGGACTACAGCTCCCATCACCCCTAACCACTGGCCAAGTTGGCTAGCGCCTACGGGAGCTGGAATCCAACAAATCTGAAAGACCAAAGGCTGCTGTATCTGACCAGATATTGCCCAGACTTCCTGTGACGTTTTTCTCCTCTTTAACCCGGACAGACTGGGCAAGTTGTTATTCTTTGCAAAGGAGGGTGAGGAGAGGCTGCTTAAACTTTCCCCCTCATGTTATTTTTCAGCTGCTTTTCTCACCCACAGGAGAAAGGATACAGGTACCTTACAGAACATTCAATTTGGTCTTGCTAAAGAGCTCAAATGGAAAAAGCAGATGGCATTTATTTTAAGAAGAGTTCATTTTAGTGCTCTGCTTTAGTTCTATTTCTATTTAGTTCTATCTCTGTTTAGTTCTAAATATTTGTTTCTATTTTAGTGATCTCTGTTTATTCATAACATGGCTACAATATGCTGTTGTGTAATCAGTGCAGCCAGCATAAGTTAAAATGCTACATCAGACATGCATTCTTGAGTATTTTGTAGGGTGCAGATACAAACCAACAACTAATGCCCTTCTTTTTAAAACAGATGCACACAAAATGACCCCACCATTACCAAAAATGACACATCTTGGCCAATGTCAAAGGAAAAGGAGTGCTGAGATGGAATATGGGCTGTGAGCAAATACATGCAGGAAGAAGACTGGAACACAACTAATGATTTTCCTGTCATCTTTCTTCTCCTATGCTACAGCCAAACAGCTGCTATAACTGCTTTGCATGAATTGAATATGACGCTCCAAAAGGCAAAATACCGTGCCCCGGGCTGTGCATAAAAGATATTACTGTAGATTGAGGCTGCATTTGTCATGGTCATTCTCAGTGGGGAGATAGAAACCACTTGCCAGGGATGTTTTAATCTACGCAAGAATAATGACTGTTGTTCCTTTTGTACTGAACAAAACATGCTTATTTAAATCATCTGTACATTCGAAGTCAAAATAGGACACTGAAGGCTGAAAGTGTTCATCCTGATCACAAAATAACATGTGATTCAAGTATGTTCCTCCAAGGAGATTTTTTTTTTTTTGCTTTTCTTTTTCTTTTTAGATAGAAAAGTGCAATCAAGGCCTTCTCATTCTGTAGGACATTTAGAGATAGTTTAGGAAGAGTTGTTTGCTGCTGCTTAATGCTAAAACAAATGCTTTGATTCTTCCTGGCTGCCAAAAGACACTATCCTGTGGTCTTTGTTGTTGTTACGTGCTGTCAAATTGTCTGACTTATGGCAACCCTAGGAATGAACACTATCCAAAATATCCTGTCCTTGGCAGCCTTGCTCTTGTAAACGGTCGGCTGTGGCTTCCTTAATGTAATCAAGCCACTTCATATTTGGTCTTCCTCTTCTGCCTTCAACTCTCCCTAGCACTACTATTTTCTCCAGCAAGTTGTGCCTTCTCATGATGTCTCCAAAGTACAATATCTCCAGTTTCTTTGCTTTTGTTTCCAGGGGAAGTTCTGGTTACTTCTGATTTATGACACCTTTATTGGTATCCTAAGCCTAACCCCTTCAGTCAGTTCAGGGTATTTGCAAAGCTCTCCTCCAGCACCATGTTTCAAACTCATCAATTTTCTTCCTGTCAGCTTTCTTCACTGTCCAGCTTTTGCACCCATACATTGTGATCGGAAGTACAATAGTTTGGACGATCTTGACCTTGGTCTCCACTAAAATGGCCTTACAAACGATCTTTTCTAGTTCCTTCATGCTGCCCTTCCAAGCCTCAGCCTTCTCCTAATTGCTTGACTGCTGTCTCCCCTTTGAATTCATGATTGAGCTCATGTAACTTTCCCTGGGAAGATCCCTGGGGCAGCCACCAAGAAGGTCCTCTTCCACATTCCCACCAAGTGTGCCTGTGAGGGTG